TTTAATTCCCTCTTTTTGCAAAATAAAAGGACTTGTTATTGTGCTTTCAATGCCCACATAAGCGTCTCTGCATGCTGAAGTAAAGCTTTCTGGTCTGTACACATGAACCTGATAAGTATTTTTTGCATAATACCTTTTATTTTTTAGTGTAAAATTCTGTTGGAACATAATGGAACAGAGTCTGGTCCGAAAGCCACTCTGACAGCCTGGAATTCCTGCTTCTGAACAGCAGCTTATCCACAGCACAGAGATTTTGTGATAGCCCCACAACCTGACACCTGCTGTCCCTCCAAGTGGAAGAAGACGCATCTGGGATGCCCTTCACACTGATGGGCAGCACTGCCCCTTTCTTGACAGCTGCAATAACCTACACCTCCACAGAAAGCTGCTTTGCACAGACGAGCAGAGAGACAAAGCTTGCTGTTTTCTCTGTGGCTCGGAGAGACATGTTTCCCATTTTGCAGGGAATGTAGAGCTCTGCGGAGCAGAACACGCAGGAGGGGGGGTGCAGCTCCCCCGGTTCTGCACCAGCCCTCCCAGGGAGCTCCTCCGCCTGCCTGGAATATGCCACGTTATCCCACAGGCAGGCACGGGGATGATTTGTGCTGCTGGGAGCCGCTGTTGTTCCTGGAGGGTAGCTCTGCGCTGTGCTCCTCACAGGGCTACGGCTCTGCAGCTCCAGTCCAACCCACCCAGGCAGTGCCCCTCTCCCGAGGGTCCCTAACCTCATGGCAACTGGGAAGAAAGTGTTGCAGTATTTGTACTGCCAAACCCCAGCCTGTGAGAACCAACCACTTGGAAATACTACCTGAGAAGTCAGCAATTACTGAGCACCACTGACAGCAAAATATTTGGGCTGCATATACATCCTAGCCGGTAAACTGCAATGTAAGGAGGCAGATTTCTTGCTTGCTCGTTGCTATACCCTAGCAACACCATTTGCTAAAGCCCTGCTCTGGTTTGAGAGGTCCAGGCTGAATTTTATGTTCAGTGTTCTTGACCCTAGAAGCCTGGCATTTGTCTACTGGAAAAAAAAAAAACAAAAACAAAAAAAAAACAAAAACAAAAAAGGATTTAAAAAAAAAAAAAGCACAGTTACGTCTTTAAAGCTCTGCTGCTTGGTTGGCAAACAAATGCTGGGGAGTGCAGCTCTGCTGAGGTTGTGCAAAAAGAAAGCAATTGTTATTCATTAAGCAGATGACAGCAACGGGAGCAAAGGGGATAAAACTCGAAATCTGAAACCACCTGCTTTAATTTTAGCCATAATTGAAGCGGCTGCCTATGATGATGCTGATGCACGTATCAGATTTGCACGCCATGCACTGCTCTCACTGATTTCTGTGGCAGCAAGCTCCAGCTCACTATCTGCTCTGGTTCAGGAGGGGATGGATCTCCTCTTTGATTGCAGGTTATAACGGATTCTTTAGAATCTGTTTGTTTCCTTCCAGGAGCAAAATGCAATCGCAGTCTGGCTCTCTGATAGACAGACACTTTAGTCATTAGTGAGGTTTCTGTAACTACAACACTGTGTCCTAGTATGGGTGCACTTATCTCTTTTGTTCCTGATTCGAAGCAGTGATGCTTTTCTTGCTCTTGTGCTCACATGCTCACTCTCTTTCTCTCCCTCCCTCTCTTTCTGTCTGATCTTGCTGATATGGGGAAAAATATCAGATCCAAATCTTCAGCATATTTAACCAAAACATCTTGTAGGATGGGAATAAATTGTGACTGAGTGCAGCAGCAGGGGGCTGCAGTATGGTTGCTTGTACTGCTTGCTTTCTGTTGCTACAAAACAGCAGCAATCGTTAAGCAGTGCTGGGGTTGTTCTGCAGCTAAATAAGCACTTAGGGGCTCAGCATTCACAGAGGGCTAAGGTGGTTTTGCTGGGAATGGGTAGACTGTGCAAAGCTCTCCTCGCAGTCTCTAATGCAGGGATTCGAGTCAAACAGGTAAAAGGAAACAGGTCTTCCCTAATGGCGGAGAGGGTCTCATCCTTCGCTAAATTCCCTGGAGATTTTGCCACGGAGTTAAATGGCTGTAAGATAGCACTGTCACTTCATATTCAACCTCATTACAGTACTAGCGACATAAGCCTGAGAGCTGGGGAGCTCACAGCAAAATCAGTGAAGGCAAGAAAAGTCTTGACCTGAGCTGCACAATGAAATGTTGGAGTGGGAGCATTAATGGTCTATCCTTGAGCTGTTTAGTGCAGATTTATACTGCATGTGTTCTTATGTGTATGCCAACTTTCAAAATCTATGAAAAGCTTTTTTATGGTTTCCTGTGATGATACATAGTCAGAGGGAATACTTGGATGAATAAAGAAATATGCCACGAAATGGGGAGCAGGTGAGCTGCATGACAGATGTGTGTGCTGTCCTTTGTCGATTTGGTGCTGCTCCTTAGCTGACAGTATAAAGAATGTGACATGAAGCTTAACTCTGCTTGGGATGTTGTTTAGGAGAAGATCCTCACTGCTTTGGAGCATAGCACGTTGTGTGATGTAAGGTCCCCATCCCCTTCTGATCAGCATTCCCTGCTAAGCATGTCTTCATTCCTCCACTTTACTGATCATTTACAGCTGTTAGCTTTATTTCATGAGAAATTCTTAAAGGGCTGAGACAGTAACTGGACTGCAGTGTTCTGTAATGCAGCCCAGAGCTGGCGCCGTGTTTCAAGCAGCCAAATGAGATTCACACTCAAGTCCCAGCAGACATTGTTCATCTCAGACACGGGAGTCCACATTTTTCTGGGGTCTGGTATCTCTCTGGACATCTTCCTTGTCATAATAAAGAGGAGGATGGCTATGGCATCAAGACAGTTGAGGTGTATTACCCCCATACTTGGTAAACTGCCAGCACAGCCTTTTTTGGTCTGACACGTAGATACCTCCATCTTTAAGGAGGCATGAAAAGTGTTGCGGAGTGGGACAAACTATCTCCCTGACTTGCTATCAGTTTGTAAAGTGAGTTGCGGTGTTTTTCCCCTGCAGTCTTTTTATCACTGTTATAGTCTAATACCTGTATTTAAATGATGAATTAGTGAGCAAATAACCACGTTATGGGCACTTAAAAATAAATTGTTAATGTCAGAAAATAATGAGCTCTAAAAAACTATCTTCGGCAGTCTTTCCTCTATGTATTCCTGATGATGAAGAGGACACCGAACAGCCTGTCATGTCGTTTCAGTTCCTTCTTACACACAGCTGAGCTAAAAGTGAATGCATGCTTCCATCTTCTGCCAGTGTGTATCTTCCTTCTATAAGCCTTTAAATAATAGATTCTCCTTTTATTTGTCAATTCATTAGCTTTGTTAAGTAAAAGAAGTTGGGTAATTGCTGTGCCCACAAGGCATGTGACACCTCTGACCATCACAGATTGTCTCCTGCTGACTGTGCTGGGTAGTGAGTGCTCAGTGACAATGGCCCAGTGTGCCAGAGCTCTACCATCCACACCCCTGAGTCATGCCACAGAAGAGAGACAGGGAATGGTTTGGAAGTGCTCTTATATCCCCTTAATTTGGCTTAGCTTCAGAGAATGCTCCGCTTAGTCCTAAAAGATAGACATCCATTTCTTTTGCAGAAAGGAGTCCTGTGATGTTGCAGCTCCACATGTGGCTCTGGTTTCTCTGTCCCCAACCGGTGTCCTTGCAGAAAGGACCAAAAGGACTTGAATTCTTATAAAAGCTTGTACTCCTTTGAGAGCTATGTAGCCAGCAGATGCTTTACAGTGAAAGAGAACATCCTTTGAAAACAATCTGGTGTTTATTAATCAACAAGAATTCAGTGTTTGGGGTCCTTCAGCAGGAAAAGAGAAGGAAAGCACATGTGGGCCTGGCCTCCTGAGTGAAAACATGCAGGTTCCATCCCCATGCTCTGCTGAGGAGCAGATTTAGTATAGCGTTGGTATGTCAGCACTTTGCTCTCCATTCCAGTGACATTTGGCAGGACTCGATATGCCTGTATTGAGATTGAGTTGCCCAAGACCCAGGCAGCAAGACATTCACCTGCGTTCTGGTGCTGCCCTATAGATATCTAGATTTGTTAGGCTCCCTTTTAGCCAGAGAGTTCTCTGGACACAATTTTAGACAGCCACATATGCTCAGAAGTGCCATTTCTGGGGAGGCAGGCATTTAGATCTTATTTAAAGCTGCGCCATGTTTCTGGTTTATGTGGGTAGCCACCTGGACTCTCTTATTTCTGTTTAGATATGGACAACAGTAAGTCATGGGCCTAGTCTGCCTTGTGACCAACGCTGTCCCTCAGACATCAGAAGGTGGGCTCTAGGCACTGCTCAGCCTGAGGGGTTTGTCCCAGCCCTGGCTGTATCTCAGGAGAGCACCCTTACCATCCCTCCCTTAGCTGCTCTGCAGCTGTATCTTGAGAAATAGAAGGGCAAGGATAAAATGTGAAAGAAGAGATGGAGTACAGAGGGGAATGGTAACCAAAATCAGTTATTAGGGTGCTGCAGGGGAAGGAGAGTCCCAGGCCCTCCCCCCTGGCATGCGTTCTGGATTTTACACTGCGTACCACCATCACTACCAGGAAGCACCGGTGGGGATTGTCCGGTTTTCCGGCTGCAGAGTCTCAGAGATACCATCTGTTCCCCATTTGTTGCAAAAGTTATTTAGGTGGCTGTGTGAGACAGGATTACCCTCTGGGCTTCGGTGCCTTTGATGAGGCCGCATCTGAAGTTAACACTTAAATTAAGCAGACTTGATTTTATTGCCTTTGCGTATTATAATGCCCATGAAATCATTAAAACTTTTTGTCTGTTCCTTGGTCTTCTGTTGTCTCCCCGTAGTGTTTCTGTCATATGCTGACTTTGTATGACCTGCCTGCCTGAAAAATCAGCAGCCCTCTTCCCTTCCCCACCCCAGCAGACAGTGGTACCTCACAGGGCTGCGGGATACCTGCACTAGCCCTTCCATGGCTTTGTAGGGATTCTTGGACAAGGGACACCACATTTGGGAATAATCCTTTTTCCATTTCTGTCTCACAGATTGATGAACTCCCTGAAGGAGCCGTGAAGCCTCCAGCAAATAAATACCCCATCTTCTTTTTTGGGACTCATGAAACGTAAGTGAATGAACATGATCTTTTCCTTTGAAAATGCCTTCTTCCAGTGCAGCTAACATCATCTGTACTGATTTTATTGGAACAAATCCTGACTGAAGCCATTGGGAGCCTAGAGGTAGATCCTATGAGCCCAACTTGTTTGTATTAATACATGGAAGTGAAACCTGAAAGTAGGTGGGAATGCTGCTGCATGGATGGTATAACATGGTCTAAGCATAAATAATAACCAGTGCCTGTGTTTCCTGTAAGGAAAAGTGTTGGCATAAATTTATTAAAGAACTCAGATGCAGGGGCAAACATTTTTTACTTGGATGTGCTTGGTAGCAGAGATCAGGCTGCTGTACGCGGACACGTTTGAGTTCATGTCCTGTGTGAGAACTTGCTTGGTAGTTTGTAAAACAAAAGGAAGCAGACCCCAGAGCCTCACACAGTCCTCACATAGCTTTAAAATATATGCATTCCTGTGAGATTTGCACTAGAGATATTGTAGGATGGAACTCTCAGAAGTGATAGAAGAACTGAGCTGGCTGAGCTCATGGAGAAAGAAAGGAATCAGAACAGAAAAGGTAAGTTAGGTCTGATGGTAATTGCTACAGAGTTTCAAAATTATAAAGTACATGTCTCTATTTTAAACTATGTCTGAGGTAGTTAAAAAAAATAAATCACAGTTTCCATTTTGCATGAAATGTTTACATTTTTAAACTTTTCTTTCCCCAGTTGCAGACAACATGTTTTCTAGAATTCCTTAAAAAATGGAAAAAAGAAAAAATGGAATTCTGATGACATTTTAAATTCCATTTTAGAGGTCTGAAGCTTTATTAAAAATGTATTGTTTATTTTTTAATTTTAACATTATTCCAGAACATAATAAGCCCCATATCTCATACGTACATTTTGTTTTAAAAATCTTGAAAGGCAGTTTCTGCTTAATAAAGATAAAAATCACTTCTCTGTAGTTAAAAATATTTCTTCATACTGCTGTAGTGAAACAACCTGATATTTTGATATATTGTGATCTACTACTACTGTCACAAAATAATCTAAAAAGAATTAAGTTCAAATAAACTTATGATGCTTTAAATCAGAAACCAAAATGTCATTTTTTTTTTAATGGAAACATTTTTCTTGAGAAACATTTTGAGAAAAGATCTCTGGCCACTTTTATTCTGAAATGAATGAATCCCACACTGCTAATCTCTTTTGTTTTGGATTTTGTTAGTTGACTCATCTGACTGTAACATCTGAAATAAGAAAACAGTTTGTAGTTACTACCTTAATAATTTTAAAAGCATCATAACTGTTAAAAATGAACTGTAGATTGCAGCTCCTTAGTTTTATAGCAGAGCAGTGGAAACTGTTATACTCTCCCAGTGGCAATGAACATATTTCAAACAAAGATGTAGACAATTTTTCAGTGTTTGCTGTACATAAAAGTCTGTAGAAACATTTCCATACATTACTGTTGAGCTAAATTGAGGTAGCTCATGGTAAGTTTCATAGTTTTCCTTTGTTATTTGTATTAGAACTGTTTGTATGTATTTTTGGCAATGAGGAGACATTTCCTAGTATGAGCAAAAGCCTAGATAAAATAATTTATTCAGATCCCTTGCTCTATTGTAGCCTTTAATATTAACGAGACATCTGTTAGTTTTGAAATCACTGTTTGGCTTTCAGGTAGAAATGCATTCTTGGCTTTGTAATTATATAATTGAGATATTTTTCAGTGAGAAAACTGAGTGTGGATACCATTCTGTCTTCTGTGTAGTTAAAAGGAAGCTCTTTCCCCAGAGGCTTATCATCTGATGCCTTTAGCCACCAGTTAGCTCTGTACTGGCAAACCTCTTGGCCAGTGGGCTGATTTAAGTGAATGAAACTTTGCACATTCATAAATGCTGGGAAGAATCAGGACATAAATCAGGCATTAATCTGAAATAATGTTTACGGAGAGGTAGAAATATGATCCTGTGATTAAGGTATTAAACTGAGACTGAAGAGGGTTGGGTTTTCTTCTATACTCTGCTGTCAGTTTGAGTTTGACCTTGGGCAGATCTCTGTGTCTCAGAAGCCCATCTGCAAAAAAGGGCCCCTTCCCAACCTCATGGTGATGTTATGAGAATGTGTTAGAAATGGTGGAGCTCCGCGATCCCATGGTAATGGAGACCACTGAGTTAACGTTGATTGCAAAGATATCAGGAAAGTAGGACAGTGATTATAGTGAAGGCCACTGTGATTTGCTCAGCTCTGGACATTGGTGACATAGAATCTTCCATGTTGGAATGAATAGGGGGTTTTTGCCTTCACTGTTTGTAATTTAACTTACAATTAGCCATAGCAGTACCATGATACAGAGCAAAGTAAACACGTTGGATATAGATACCCAATGAAAAGGAAATTATGTTTTCAGTTTTATATAAGAAGTTAGAATTTTACTGTAAAGTATGTAGAGAAAGCAGGATAAATCACCACTCTTCTTTTTTTTTTTTTTTGTATTAGTTTTCCCTGCGTTGTGGTGCCTGTGCCTGAAATCAGTTGGCCCAGTGCACAGCTGACTTTTGCAGCAGCAGAGCACAAAATCCCTCCTTTGCTGTGCTGTCTAAAAACCAATTTGGCCACAAGCACCCTATGTGTCTCATTGTTTCCTTGTATTACTCATCTGCCTATATTCACCCATTGTTTCTTGCCTTATATGAAATTACAAGATTTTTGGGAAAGAGAGTATTTTTATTGTGTTTGCACAGAATCTAGCATGTGAAGGGGGCTTATTCCAAGAAAGAAACTCCCAGGCTTACTGACTGTATAGATAATAATAAATGCCACTGCTTTTTCTGTCCCGTAGTACAAGGGATAAGTTGTGGCTTATGGGTTCTAGGCACTCCTCACATGCCTTAACTTTTCATATGGTATTTTTAGGCCTTTCTGGATTTGTAACACATAAGATTGGAAGTTTGCTCCCTTGCTATCACAGGCAATTACGTCATATAATCCCTTTCATAAACTGTTCAAGTGCCAGTTCCCAGCAGTAGTTAATATAATAAATGAGACTCAGTTTAGCTGTTTCTAGAGAGACCCAGCACGATTTTACAACATCAAACATCAGGATGGTAAGCCAGCCATTAAATCAGACTCACATCAGTAACTCAAAGCCAGTATGTTAAATAAATAAACAAACAAATAAATAAAACTGAAAAAAAAAAATGGTGGAATGAACAGAAGAATAGGGAAGACTTTTGCACTGTTAATGTGGGTTTTTTTGAAGAAGAGATTCGAGTAATTTTTGCAATGTTACCTTTGTTAAAATGCAGTGCATTCCTGGGGCCCAAAGACCTTTTCCCATATAAAGAATATAAAGATAAGTTTGGGAAGTCGAACAAGCGAAAAGGATTCAATGAAGGCCTGTGGGAAATAGAAAACAACCCCGGAGTAAAGTTTACTGGATATCAGGTAAATTACTTTCACTTGTATTCCTCCTTATCTTTCTTGTTTTCTTACTTGAAGACTTCTTGTCAATGTAAACATTGTATGAGTGATGTGGAAGGTCCTGGTTTTGGTGGAGCTAGAAAGTTTTGCAGCTTTTGTAATTGTGTAATGTAAACACAACTGTAGTCTTGCACTCTGTGACAAACGGAACTTTAATCATACTGCAGAGTCCTTTGCTTTCTATGATATTCTGGGGTGGTGAAGTGGAAAATTCTGCAGCAGATTTAGTTGAATTAAAAATGGAAGGTTTTATTTACTCCAATATAAACATGAATAATTTCTGACTTATTCTTTCTGTTGTTTATTTTTATATCAGATTCAGTGTATTTTACACAGACCTTAAGGTCACTGCACTTTTGATTGTTATATTGGTAACATATAACACGTAGGACACCACTGCCAGAGCTGTGAGGTGTGAGAAGGTGGAGGTTTAAGCTGCTGTTATGAGATAGTAGCTGCTGTGCAACAGCTCTCCCTGTTGGATGTCCGGAGCAAAAAGTCCGTGAAGCTGGAGGGAGAGAAGAGTAGTTGGTGGGCTGTATAAAACCGAAGAACTTTTCTCATTAAAAAAATGTGGTCCTTTGAAGGCAGAAATCACCTCCAAAAGAAGGCAAACACCTATTACATTATTAGCACAAAACCTTACAAACCAGACCACCTGCAGACAAGCTGCTGCCCCTCTCAGTTCCTGTTTCATATTTTCAGCCTTACAGATGTTTTGCATACACTTGGCGATTTAAAAAAAATCTAGTGAATAGTCTGTGGGAGATGGACTGTCAGAGAGCTCTCAACCTTCTGGTCAGTGTTTGCTTTTTCCTAGCACAGAGATCTTGCCCTTTGCAGGGATTTGCATCAGCCATCTTCTCTCCTGAATAAGTGTCTCCTATTGCAGCCAAAGTCTAAAAGTTTCCATAGTTTTGCCCAAAGTAGAGAATGCCAGGTCTGACCACTGAGCAGCCCTTAGTTCTCTGGCAAACACATTTTTGTTATCAGATCTTCTGTTTCTGTGTAAACTCCAGAACATGCTATCTCAGAATCTGCATCTGATAACTGTTTTCAAGTGGTGACTGAGAAAATCGCCTTTGCAGCCCATTTTCTTGATAATTGCAAGAATAACCTGAGTTCTTCCTGACAATAGTGATTCGGGTGTAAGCTGTCTGTTACCAGTATTTCTATCTTCAATACTGAATGAAAATTAAATAATAGATTTTAGTGATATTTTTGTTGTTTATGTTATTATTGTTATTCTTGTTGTTACTTCAAAGGCAATTCAGCAACAGAGCTCATCAGAAACTGAAGGAGAAGGAGGAAATACAGCAGATGCCAGCAGTGAGGAAGAAGGTGATCGGGTAGAAGAGGATGGAAAAGGAAAAAGGAAGAATGAAAAAGCAGGCTCAAAACGGAAAAAATCCTACACTTCAAAGGTTACTTTCTGAGTTTTTCCATTGTTACCCATGTGCATTTGTAATGAGAATACTGTCCACGTCATGGCAATCTGTTCTTCCTTCTTTAGCATTTTGATTCCGGTACCATAACGATGGTGTTCAGACAGGCAAAGGGAAGTGCTCTTGCTTTTGTAGACAGCCTTGGCGAGACAACAGTTGAAATACTCTGCCCTGTTCCAGGGCCCACACTTTGAGAAGGAGGTGAAAGTTTGGGAAAGAGTTCAGAAGGGCTGGAAAGAAAATCTATGCAAAGATGGATTGATAGGTTTGATCATCTTTGATAGGTATTTTGCCATGAAGATCAAAAAAAAGCCTTAGGAGTGTGCCTGCTGGGAGGCATGAGTTCAGGTTTGGTGCCTGCCCAGGAGAATTCAAGCTTCCCTCTCCCATCTCCAGTGCAAGTGCCGCAGATGCCATGCTAAAAGATATGGTAGGGTCGGATGTGCTCAGCAGCTCCTGTTGTAGCTGAGTGTAAAATACTTCAGTGCAGGATACAGGATGGGCGAGAAGAAGAACTCATTCATTAGGCAGGGAGTAGGGCACTCAGTTTATAGATAAAAGACCTGCACTGTAGTACCTACCTGCCCTGTTAATATCTAAGTAACAGTGTAGATGAGGAAGCTAACTAATGTGTCTCAGACAGCCTCATAATGGCTGGTGAACATAATCACCTGGGTAGTGACAACTTTGGGCTCAGATACGCTTCTGTCACCTGGGTGAAAGCAGGAGCAACATTATAGTCGCTTCTTCCAGTTCCGTGTGTGCCTCTAGGTCTGTACTTTGCTTAAAAAATTGTGGAAAGTGTAGCAGAGTCACATTCATTCACATTGGTGTTCTTCTCTGAAAGTGAAAACTAAATGAAATTAGAAGAAGCAAGCAAACAATCTGATCCAGGCTTAATTTGAAGGAGAGCAGGAATTTTCGTGGTTCATCCACCAAACAAAATGTATTAAGTAATTTCACCCCCTTTGTGTGTTTTACATTAGAAATTCAGGTCTGGTCTACCATCTTCTTTCCAGAAGACTCTGGGAAAACAGAGGATTAGGAAAATGGTGGCTTAATGCCACAATTTATCCTTTTGTACTGTAGAATTGCATAACATAAAGGGAGCAGAAAAGATATATTGGTTCCACATGGCTTTAATGTTAATATATTAAAGCTGACAGCACTAAAAAAAAGTATGGAAAGCAGCTCTGCTAATGTTATTCTCATTTTACATCTCTGTGTTTAATCAAAACTTTTGTCAAGCTGGCACCATCTGTTTCATTAACTAACAAAACCTACAGGTGACCCAACACTAATACCCATCTCCTATTACTGTATCTGTCTTACAGTCAATTGTGCTGCAAACCTGTGTAGAACACAGAATTTTTCCTTTTGCTTCATTGATGTCAGTAACTCCAACTACTTCACCTGAAAAATGTTTTTCACCCCACATGTCCTCCCCAGTATTCACCCTGAGCAGGGAACTGCATGATCAGACAGCTTTTCACATACATTTCAAAAGTGTCTTTTTATGACTGAAGCTCAGTTTTTACTTTTTAACTCTGTTGTTGATCATTTTAGAAATCCTCCAAGCAGTCACGGAAATCTCCTGGAGATGAAGATGATAAGGACTGCAAAGAGGAAGAAAATAAGAGCAGCTCTGATGCTGGGGACGCAGGCAATGACACAAGAAACACTTCTTCAGATTTGCAGAAAACCAGTGAAGGGGTAATCTTCTGTTAATATCATTCACTTCCCATGCAGTTTGCTACTGGGGGCTTTGGAGCTAGGGGTGAAAGGCACTGCATTGCAGTGACCTGTGCATACCACATGGGATCTCTTTACATTGCATTTCAGTGCTCACAGTGCGTCTAGAACAGAAGCATAGGCCTGGTCCCTGCACTGGCCCAAATTTTGCTCTAGAGAAACAACTGAATGAAAAAAGATACTATAAGCATTATTTTTGTTCCAACACTTGCGTGGATGTCAGCTGAGAAGAGCTACTGAAAACCATGAGCTGAAATGATGCAAAATTGATGTGAGAGCAGAATCAGACTGTTTGCATAATGCATTTTGGCTCACTAAACAGTGGGAGCCTGCTTATCCTTTCACACTTGTTTAAAATTTGTGCAGTCCCACTGACTTCTCTGGAGTTCATGAGGGTTCATGTGCATGTTACAGACTCTGCATACTGCAGGTTTCAGGGCAGATCCTGCCTTGGGATATGACCTTCCAAGGAGGGGGGATATACAGTCTGCTCCAGGGCAGCTTCATACGATCTCCTTGTCTGTTTATGTCAGTTGTGTGTTGATATCAATATTATTTTGTTGTGACTACAATGGAAAGGAAGGCTGCTGAGCAGGAGAGTTAGCATGGGAATTGGTTAATTGTCAGCCACCTTTAACAACCACTACTATTTCTGAGCCTTTGGAGCAGCACAAGCCTCCCTGCTCCAGTACTTACAGCTCCAGCTCAGAACCAGTTTGTGTGCGATTCCCATGCCAGGGCCCTGCCACGTGGCCAGCAGCCGGGCTGGGCTGTCACAGGAGCTGCTGAGTGACACGAATCCCCAGGTGTGAGAGGAAGCCAGCCAGCACAGCCTCTCGTCTGACACTGCCGAGGTGCCTTAGCACCCAGCTGCGTGCTCGGCCTCAACCCTTTCTCACAAAACACAACCTCTGGGGAGCTGCTGTCGTCTCCTGCTTAAAGACTCCTCCCAGAGCTTCCTTTCCCCTTGTCTCTCAGTGGTACAGTCTGTTTTGTGGCTCTTCACCTCACAAAGACTTTGATACGTGGCTCACGGTGTCGGGAAGATAATGTGCCTCTAGCTTCTCCCATTCACCCTGACCAAGCCGCTGGCTGAGCCAGAGACTGACGCAAGGAGACACTGTGCCCGGCTGTGCCTTCCCAGCACCACAGAATTTGAGAGTCTGGGGCTGATGTGTGTGGCGAGTGCGTAGTGCATGTGTTGCCCACGTTCTGGCTAGTGAACATTGTGACACTTTCATGTCTTCAAATAGGTATTTGAGTGAGAAAACTGGCCATAAGGTCCATCTGAGGTGGCAAGAGGTTCAGGAGGGCCTGCTTTGTTTCCCGTGTTTGTAGCAGTGACAGGGGATATGCCTGTGAACTTCAGGCATGTTCTCCATGTAAGTACCAAATGCTTACTGAGTTAGGTCAGTCACAGACTAAATGGCTAAAAAGTCACATAGGATGTTGGCTTTGTGGGTGGTGACATTCATACAGCTCTTCTTCTCTATGTGACATGCTTGTAACTGCTGGGAGGTAGAGTCCCGCATGCTAGAACATCATCGTGCTCTTAGCATGTTTAGGATCGCGGATATTTCAGCCTCTGTGCTGAAATAGCATCAACAGTCTGTGCCCTTCCTGCCAGCACCAACCCCACAGAAGTACTCACAGTCATCACTGTCACACCCGTGTGAGGAGCTGGCTCTGCTCTGACTTCTGCAACCCCAGCACCCGGGCTTGACCTCACACGTGAACGACCGGTCCTTAATTAGATCTTGGGTGCTTTTAACATCATGGGAAAGGTGGAAGTTTAGTAGCATGTACTAAAGAGAGATGGAAAGATGGTTTTAAGGGCAGCTTGAGATAAAAGCACTGATAAGTTTGGAGAAATTCACATCCTGATCCAGATATTTCACCTCAGGCATTTCTGCTGCAGAATCAGCGTTTCACGTGTCAATCCTCTTCAGCGTTTCTTTGGAGATTTGTCAGAAGTGCAATTCTCTTTTAGAACCAGGAGGGGACACTCCATCTCCTGGTGTCCTCAAAGCCAGACCAGGTGTCTTTAGAAGGTATGCCTTCGTCAGACACAAGGCACTCAGGGAAAGAGTAATCAGATATTTTTTTTTTCAGTTGCTGTCAAACAGCCAGTCACACAGTGTGTGTCTAGATCGACCTGCTGGGGTACAGGGCCGGCTGTCCTGCAGCCACCTTCTGCCGGGTGTCCAGACTGGGAGTCTGCCGAAGGGCATTGGTCTCCAGCACATGCACTTGGACTTCTCTTCTATAGAAAGGAAGGTCGAAAAAGACCAACACGTGCCTGCAGAGTTGGGATACAGTCCTCTTGTTCACACGCATGAATTTAGAAGAATTTCCAGATCTGCTAAAAGACACCATCATAGATGATATTGTGGTGTCCTTAAACTCATTTCACTTGTGAGAAGACCGTGGGACCCACAGTGCGCGGTCTGAAGAAGATGGGCTCCTTCCTCCCCAGCGTGCAGCACCGGAGCTGCACACCCACCGCTGCACCTTCCTGCGCGGCCGGCCGAGCTCTGGCCGTTTGAGATGCCACCAGGAGCACCCCAACGTGGGTACAGCACTGCGTGCAAACCTGCTCCCTCCCCGCAAAGGTGGGGTGCTGGGGGCTGCGTGACACTCACACCAAAAAAGAGTTTGTTTCAAAATAACTTGTAGAAAGGTGCCACGAAGGCAAAGAGACAAGAAAAACAAGAGTTCAAGGCTCCAATCTCGAGGATTGGCATGCTTCATTCCCCTGGATTTGCCACCGTGACCAGCTGGTTCCCCGGTGCCGGGCAGCGGCGGCTGGGGAGGGCTCGGGGGGCAGCTGGGCAGGTGGCTGCGGGCTCTGCCACCCGGCTGGTACTGCTCCCCACGGGCTACGTCCTGGCCAGCCTTTGGCCCTGTGCTCTGCACCTCCCAGGGCTCTGACCCTGCAAGAGTTGCCTAAAGGTCACAAGCAACTTTTCTCTTAATAATACTACTAATAATAAAGCAGTGACTACGTTTTATAATGTCTGGACTGCAGGCTGAAGACACATCTCCCTTCTTCAGATCAGAGGGAACCTTGCCTTTTAATCACAGTCTTACCCTCAGCATTACGAGGATCTTCTTGAAGGGTTAACGGCTAAAGTCAAATGATTGCAGAAGCATCTTCAGCTATATTTTTTTAATGAAATTTCTAACCTCCAGGTGGTAGAAGAAAGCTGGAAAATGTGAAGTGATGGCTTCCTAAAGACTCAAACCCAGAGCAAATAAAAGTACTTCCAAGGCTATGATATTTTTTCAGCCAATTTTGTACTGTTCAGGGGCTCAACTTACGTTTTTTTTTTTTATCCCTGGGGTTGACAAAGCTGATTTCTTATCTCCATCCCTTAGTTTCTCAGCTATTCTTGAGGACTACAGATACTCTCAACAGAAGAGACATTAACTTCCTCAGACTCAGCCACAGTTTATAATTGAGTCCTGCCACTACCTGTTTCTCAGGCTCTTTCCCTCACTACTGTTCTTTGGCTGCTTCCTTCCCCAGAAAGATGCAAAGCCTGAACTTCAGGGGTTTATTAGCAAATATTAATTAAATAATAATATATTAGCTAAGACAGCCCATCCCAGAGTTTGCTCCAGTCAAAAGTCACAGAACCGCCCCCATGACATTCCTCTGCTGCTAATTTCTAAATTGTTTTGGCTTTCTCAAAATACCACACAAACAGAATATTCCAGTGGAAGGGTATTCATGGCTCTGTGTTGTTTACTTTCTGTGGTACAAATTTAGTTCCTAAATCAGTGAATTCATGGCAGCAGATTTACATTCCCCATTTAAATCTCCAGTGACTTGTGTGTTTGGTTCTTGGCTGGCATAATTCTGAATCTTTATAACTGAACACCTAAGCTGCTCTTTACTTTCACTCTCTGGGTACCCATATAATGACGGCTGAAAGCTGGCTGTAGTCCCTGCCCTATTGCAGAGTGTTTGAATGTTAAGGTCAGCACTCAGGGTATGTGGCAAGCTTTTCTTTCAGTATTCATTATTTTAGTTACAGTCTGGGCATTGTGTTGGCAAATGAGGCATTCCCTTTGTGTACAGATGTGTGTGGTTGCCTTGCAGGAGGTGAATGATTTTACTGAGTCTTTGAAAAATAATAGATTTGTTGGAAATGAAAAACATTTTTTTGCTCCTGGTACAGCCCAAATATTGAAGTGGCGTAAAGGACTCTGATCTTTTTACTCACTGACAATCAGTTACTAACATGGGAGTCAGTGGATCTATTTGTGGAGGCGACTGCTTGCCAGCATGAATAAGGGGATCAAAATCTGGTCCAAAATTACTGCCATCCGATACTATTGCAATTGGGAGAACATATTTAAAACAGCCTGTGTCCAGGACATATTTTTTGTTGTGATGTTCTTGTGGGGTAGCAACAATTCCAGTTACTGCTGTGAAAGACAAGTGTTATGGCCAAACTGGCCAGAGAAACACAGGTTCACTGCGTCCTTCTGATGTGGTTTTGAGATGTTTGGTTCCTTCACTCTTCCTTCTTTACTTCTCAAGAATAACATTGGTTAGGCTGCATAACAGGTTTGAGGTTTTACCAACATTAAAAGCATAGCATTTAGGGCTCTATTCAATGTACAAGCATTTATGTGGGCATTTTTCCAGAAAATTAAAACAGAGGATGTATTCCTGTCTGATTTTTTTTCTGCAATTTGAAATAAGTTAAAATCTACCCCCCCAAAAAAACAACATTTGTAAAAATGTGTTTAACTATTCTGTGTAAAAATCAGACAGTGGCATACTCTCTGGTGTGGAGTTGTGTCATCTGCTGCCTTCCTGTAGCTCAGGATAACAGCGCTGCTAAGTCAGGCAACGGGACATAGCTCAGGAGAAGCAGAAATGCCTGAATGCCAGTTTGAGATTAAAGCAGCCGGTGCAGATGAAATGTACTGTTTGCATCTCTGTGTACGTTGGGTCCTGTAACCATTTTGACCTCAAACCAACATGGAATAACAATGATCATACAGAGCAAGTACACAATTATCCTTCTGCCCATCCAGCAAGAGCTTTTAAAGTACAGGATGGCCGAGTCCGTTGCCAGACACTGTTGAGGAAGGAATTTTCAGTGCCAGAAAAAAGAAGGCAATTTGCGGATTTTGTTGTATTCCCTGCTCTCTGTGTTCTCTGTCCTTCAATTTTCTTGATGACTGAAATTTTTCGCTTGAACCAGTCAGATTCTGTGCTGTTTCTTTTGTGCGCAGTGGGGTTGGTCAGTGCGGCACACGCTGTGCCCTGTCTTACAGCAAAGCCGAGAGACTCGTTCAAACAAAGATGATGAGAGTTGATGTGTTTCTGGAGAGACCTGAAACCATGGAGACCGTGGAGGCTGCTCAGCTCTGCCGCCTCCGTGCTCAGCGGCCGCGGCGCGAGCCCGGCAGCGCGCGCAGCCTGGCCAGGGGAAGGAGCCGAGGTCCCTGTGCAGCCCCGCTGGCCCCAGGGGCTGCCGCACCGGGGGGGGGGGGGGGGGGGGGGGGGAGAACTGCCGACTCCTGGGGCACCTGGGCGTGCGCCGAGGGGACGCGACGTGTGTCACGCTGGAAGATGGTGCCGGGAACTGAAAATGCGAGAGGATGATGCGCATACCTGGCTCTTTGTTGTCCCTCCTGTGTCACACTGGGGCCCAACGGGTGTATCTGTGAGACGGTGCAGAGTGGAAGTATTAATATTCCCAGCGCCCCACGTAAGAACGGTACCTACCCAATCTTCTGGCCTTAGCCCGGGGGGGAATTGTAAATGAGTGCAAAGGTTTCGTATTCCAAAAGGACAGCTTTCCTTACTGGATCTGAGAGTGATACTGTAGGGACCGACTGTGTCACCACCCATCCTGCCTACCAGTGCTGGGTGGCAGCTGTCGTTAAGAGCTTTAGCAGGAGGCATGGGCTGATTGACTAATCATTTGTAGTTGTTTTAATGGGTCTCCGCACTTCCCTCTGAAGGGAAAGAAACGGCAGTGAACCCCTCCAAGCCACATCTCCAAAGCATCTGTAAGTATAACCTCCTCGACTCTTAAAAATGGAGAGAGGTCAAGGAAGTGTGGTGCTCTGGAGGAGCAGCGCGTTGTGACACCTGCTGGGGGGAGGCAGGGCTCGGGCAGTTCCCGTAAGCCATCCCGACGTGCATGAGCGTTTTATAATAAGCCCTTATCATGTGTCGTTAGTCAGGAGGTACCAGGACCTCCCACACGGAAAGTGCAGGTCTCCATTACTTACTGTTTGCAAACCCCTTGTAGGAGAGAAGAACCACACTGAACAAACACAGCCCTTAGTTCAGAGGTGCATCAACCAGACTGGGCTCCCAGCCTGCTAAGTGGGTGCTCGTATGCGCTTAGCCTCTTGGATGGAGAAGCACAGTCCACGGTAGCTGTGGCACCAGACACAGCAGGTATGATGGGCCAGAGCAGGAGAGAGTTGAGGAGCAAGCTGCTAGTGCAGAGATGTTAAAATGTCTTCTCTTCACAATCTCTTCCGGATCCTGTGTAAAATGAGAATTCTTTCATCCTCGGTGGATTTGACCGGGACCCCTCCACTTACTCCTTGATGTTGATTTTTGCCTTGGATGATCACACCAAATACAGTGCTAATTCCTTCATACTGCGTGTGTGCTGGGTTTCTTTCTGTCTGTCAAGGCGGGGGTGGACAAGCGTTCACACTCTGAATTCTTTATAGAGGAGCAGGGATGCCTCGCCCAGAGTTAGGTGGTCACACGGCGTCGCATGTCCTCATGTTGCCAGACAAAAGTAGTGTGTCCCTGTGGCTGTAGGCGAGTTTTGCTCTCTCTGTTTAATGTGAAGAATTGCCATGATCCCATGAGGACAGTCTGATCCTGTTCCCACTAATGTCAGGGGAAGCAAGAGCTGACCGCGACTCATCCATGAAGTGGGTTTCTTCCTTTTCTGTCATCACCTTACACTGAACTCCAAGCCAACCTGTTGCCTTTTCAGAAGCAACATTCAGAGACGTTAGCTGTGAAAACTTTATCTTTCTTCATGCTTGCTAAGGGTTCATTTGTTTGAACGATGGGGTGTTCTCATCACAGGGCGATCAGGAATACGGCGGTGCCGGAGCTTTCGCGTGAAGCCTATCAGTGATTCAGTGTAGTGGAAAAATGCAGAATTTGGTTGTGTGTGAAGTTTTCTGCAAGATTCACAATTGAGTGATTGGGGAAAACAAAAAACAACCCACATACGTGCCTGGAGCTGCTTATTTGAATGAAGCTCTAAATGTTTATGTTTAAACTGTGTTCTTTATAGTATTTTGTAGTGATATGTTTAGTTGATGTAATGCAAGCAGTTTTTTCTAGAAAAAAATTCCTGTTTGAACAGACCAGGTGGTTACTTGTACCTATGACTTCAAAGTGTGGGAATAAGGCATTAATTATATGAAGTTTGTTGCAGCATGCTTTTTCTTACATTACATGTGATTTTTTTTTTTCTCTCTCTCTCTCTTTCAGACTTAACCAACATAATGACTGCTGAATATTAAGGGAAAACACAAGAAGGTTACATGTTTGGTTGTCTAATATTCTTGGATTTGATATGAGTCACCACATCTGTTCATGAGTATCATCAACAGCATCCCAGTTTGTATGCACATTATTCACATTCCTATCTGTTGTGTTTGCAGAAATGACATTTTACCCTTTTTTCTAAGGGTTACTTTTTGATTTTCATATTTGGTTGCATGAAGTTGCCCTTTACCAGTGGCTGAGGTTTATGAAGATATCGCATACTTGAACATGTTTTAGATTCCTTTTCTATATAGAAAAGGTGTAACTCCAAATTAGAGCATTCTAAATCAGCATTTTTTTAAAAACAAGTAAATCTTAGAAATTAGTCCCCTCCATACAATACTACAATATCTTCCACGTACAAACATAATTTTAAATTTCCCTATATCCATACTTTCTTGATTTTTGATCAGTTTACAACATAAAAGAAAAATTCTTCAGTTGAGATCACCGCCAAGTTCAATAATGTAATAAAATACCTTTCCTTATTAGAAGTACCTAGCTAGTTATACTCTTAATACTTCTCAAAATCATGATGTAATGTACACTATCTGACTTAGTTCCTATATGTGGAGTTAGTGAAAGTCTTTTTGTGTTTCTTTAGATTAATACAAGGATTTTTTCCAATGCCAACACAATTTGAAATCATTCATTTGGATGCTTTCCATTTTTAAGCTTACTGTGATATAGAACCCTATGGGAAACCAAAAGAAAACATCAATTTTAAATAATGAAAGGCTTAAAAAAGGATGCTGTCATTCTGGCTTTTTTTTTTCCTTTTGGAAATAGAACTAGACTAGTAAGTAAGCATTCCAAATTCATTATTCTGTGTACATTATTGTTGCTATTGTGATAATAGAGATTTTTATTTATTTTTATGCCAGCTTTTATTGTGGAAACATATTTAGTCTGGTTTTATCAATCCTTGTTATGCTTGTCCTTGGAACATCTTTTGCGTATTCAAGGTTTGTAGTTGATGAGTTTACTGTAAAAAACTTAAAAAAAAAACGCAACAAAAAAACAAAAAACAAAACAAAAAGAAAACAAAAAAATGTATTGTTTTTACAGAATAAATTTATTGGAATGTGTATTGGGAGTAAGGTTTGAGGTTGTAAGCAACTAAGTTAGCGTCATATTTGGCTTCATACGTGTAATAATGTGAGGTATTAATGTAAGTAAGTCAAGTATTAAAGCAAAACATTCTGTTAACATGAGTTGACCATAATAGATACAAGTGCAGGTGAGATCTTTATTTTTTCTGTACTTTGCCTTTTCTGGATAACAGGAGGTTATTAAATTCACCTTGAATGTATTCAAAGTTTCTTTAAGAACATTAGAAGTAACATCGGAGGCTCAGATACCTGTTTGTGAGCCAGCATGTCCCACTACAGCCCAACAGCTCTGGGTTTGTTTTCCCGGGAGGAGGGACTGGGATGAAGCCATCCTGCACCCCAGCGGACGTGGAAGGAGCCCACAGCAGGGAGCTGGGTGCTGGAGGAAATTATTGCCAAGTTCCTTTTTCCCTAGAAGCACTGACTGAGATGTGTTGTGGGTATTTTGGACCTGCCCCTTTGGCTGGAGGTTTAAAACCGAGGGTTCTCTCTTCTGAGCGCTGCTGTGAGCTACACCTCAGCGTGCAGCGGGGGAGCATTAAAGCATGAAATTTCTTGCAGCTCTGGAAGTTCCCTTGTGCAGGGTGCAACACGCATGCGCATGAGCTGATGCTTCCTTGTTCCCCATTAGGTTTAAAAAGAAAACTAAAATTCTCTAAATCAAAACACCCAAGAGTCCACATCACAAAATAAAGTGTTTCCAGTTAAAATGTATCAGCTAATTTCATCAGTGAGAAAGGCACTAAGCATACTGCTTTCAGTATAAATACACATAAAAGGCACAGAAGTAGTTGTAATTACAAACAGAAACATCAGCTACACAAACCAAGGCCACTGTATTTGCTGCTACTCGTTTATGACCTAACAGCATGAGCAAAAGTAGCTGCAGAGAAGAACCCGGCCAAACCCCTCCCCTCTGACAATGCACGCTAGGCTGCAAGGCCTGACTGTTTAAGGGAATGAGCTCTCTGTGCCCCGTCCACAAGTGGCAGTAAGCACATGCTTAGCTTCAAGCAGATGAGCAGTCCTTGCCGAAGTGAATCCTTAAAAGAATTAACAAAGCTGTAAGATTTGCTTATCAAACATGGAGTCTTATCATAAGAGTTGATTGCTTCTTAAAAGAGCTCTTGGGATTTTTAACAAGGCTGACCCACAAGACATACTTTTTGACAAATAAAACATGTGCATGTGACAGAGTTATGTATGTTAATTTTTCACACTTCAAAATACTGACCTTCACATTCTACAGCAGCTCTGTATAGGGATTGCTAGCACTGATATTCTTTAGTGTGTGCAGGCTAAACACTGACATCATTATTATTATTTAACTTCATACAATATTTCTAAAACTGTCAAAGCAGCTTACTTAAAAATAGCTATATGAACTGGCAAGTCCACTGCAGCACAAAGTCAAAATGTTGAGAAGTGGTACTGAAGGTAGTTGTCTTTATTTTCCCTTTTTGAGTAGGATAAACAAAACAGACCATGCAACTTTACACAACTGTGCAATTTTACACATCTTACACGCTTCATCTGGGTTCCATCTGAGCAGTTCAACTACATCCCAACCCAATTACAGACATAGCCGAAAAGAGGAGCCGAAAACAGTTGTGCTATTCTGTTTTTTCTTCTTGTTTTGTTTTCATAAAAAACTCTGGCTTGTTGACACACCTGTAAGCCAACAGCTGGGGAAGGATCCCATACATTATGTTCAATATCAGGAAAAACTGTTTTGCTTCTTCAGGGACTCTGTAGATGTAAGGAGTTCGAGCATGAAGAGAAGCACCAATATGGGAAAATTGAGCCTGTGGTGTGTATATAATGTATATATTAAAAAAAGGTAAAGTTGATGTGTATTTTGGAAAGACAGCATAATCTGCATGCAAGTATGCATCTCCAGCGACATTTTCCAAGCCAGCCCTTTTATTCCAGAATTATCCGTCATACTTTTGCACAGTGGTATAAAAATACAGTCTAAACTAAGATCATTAATATCTTGGTACAAGCGGCATAAATGGAACCATCAGCGCCCTGGTAGGAGGTTTATTTTGTGCACGTGGTAGCACTGATCTTTACATCAGGTATAGGATTTCACCCTTGGCTTATAGGTGATCATTCACAGGGGGTCTGTGATCCTCCCCCAGCCCCGCGGCCGCTGCAGTGTGCATCACCGCCGAGACCTGCCCCCCCCCGCCTCCGCCCAGCAGTGGGGGTGGGACTCGCACCCACCGCCCGAGGAATGTTCTGTTTGGCACCGGCGGGAAGCAGACGCTCACTCAGCCCGAATAAAGTTAGAAAGTGAAACCTTGGAAGCTATGTTAGTTCTGGGATTGGTTTTTTTGTTTCATCTTAGGCCCAGTCTTCCAGATCCTGATCCCTGAACTCCTGGGGATTTCAGAAAATGTCTGCAGTATTTGGCTTTTGGGCTGGGGGCGGTTCTGAAGTATAGGTTAAGTTTACAGTGAAGGTTATATGCAAAGACAAGCTTGCTGGGCTGAAGCATATTTTTAGCATAAACAAACATTTAAAGATAGAAGTGTCAGGGTAGTTACTGTCTTTTGTCTCCATCTGTTACCTGCTATTTCAAGCCACAGCTTGTTCACATTAACTATTGTGTGTCCAATTTTTTTTATTATTAGTTACTTAACAGTAGAGGAGATCTCAGAAGGTAAACATCAATTTGATCTTAAGCAGAGCAGGAGAAAGGGTCACCAGGAGTTTAGTAACACAAGAGTACACTATGGCCAAATCACATCCTCTGTTCTGGCTTCGGCAGGAGTTAGTCTGTGCCCGCAGAGAACACAGTTCTGTTCACACTTAGCAAAGTAGAAAGTGAAATACAGTCCAGGTGGTTTAATACACACCCCTCTAGCCAAAGGTTAGGCTGAGACCGTACATCAAAAACAGAAGAGGAAATCAGTTTTCAGGTGGTTCTAATCACCTCCACTGAATAGGGAGAGCTGATCTAGCAAACCTGAGTCAGGAAACGGAGTAATCAAAGAAATCAAATACAAACACACTTCAGCAGAGTGCCACTTAGCATGTTTCAGTAAATAGCTATTACACAGTAAGCAGATGTTCAGGAGCACACTATCAGCAGCCTTTCTATATCAGCCTTATAAGTCAGGATGTCTCTTACAGCCTGTCTGTTCTCACCTGTCTCAGGCAGGAATTGCCTTTGGTACCTGGGTGGTTTGGTCAGATCCCTGTCCCTCTCCTCGCCTCGGGAGCCATCTCGGCCTGGGCAGCCAGAGAATTAGTGCTCAGCAGCAAAGCCCTCTCGTTATGTGGGGCACCAGTTCCCAAGGAGCTAGCCAGCTACCGCCGCTTTCAGGTAGGAGGTTTGGGTCTGTCTGATGTTTACCTCGATGCTAACAGCCTCCTGGCAGGATTTTAGAGTCGCTTCAGGGGCAAATGGGCTGCTAAGCTACGTACTTCTCCGTGGAGGACTGCAAGGCCTGCCAGTCTCCAAGAGTGGACAGCCACGCATCATAGTAAGTTGATAGTAAATTCATAAATTCATAGTAAGTCTTGTCAGAAAAAGCTGCAAGGGGCTGCTTCCGAGAGCCCCAGAGTTCCCACAGCCTCCTAGATACCTTTGAAGACCTAAGCCTTACTGTGTTGTACCTCACAAGAGTTGTGGCAGATTAGTCAGCTTTGAGCATTTTAAAAGGGAAAAGCAGAAACACTTGCTCTATTTGTAGCCCGTGAAGATTTTTACTAGCTAATGATGTACCATATAATTAAGTTATTGTTTATTAGACTTGTTTTTCAACATAACATATTGCTTTTTCCTTTCGTTACCAGGGAGGATATTTAGGTTTGTTAAAGTAACTTTTTTAATTCGATTTGCCTCTGTGGAAACTGTGTTATGTCTTTAATCTCGTGTGTTTTGTTTCCATGACTGTACTGTGCTTCTGCTTGCCTTTTTTTTTTTTTTTTTTTTTAAATCCTTTGGGGTAGAGGATACATCTTAAAAGCAGATCTCTCACTTACCACTATTCCAGTCCTGTTGTTCTTTCAAGTACCAGGCAGACTTGCACCAAATCCATAATTTTAAGCAGTAAGACAAGAGCTGCTAGTTACTGCAGATCTCTGTGCCTGTTGTGCAGTAGGCTGGCATTGTGGTAAGCGAGAGCAGCCTGGAGTCTGCGTTCCCTTGCCATGATCAGGTCCTCTCAGCAAATAAGCCATTCCTTGGTGCTTCCTGTTATTGAACACTTTACATGGAAAATTTTGAGGATCAAACCCCTAAACCATGGCTGAGAAATAAACCAACTGAGATGCTGCCACCAAACTTCTAAGGTCGCTTTGCCTCGGCTGCTCTGCTGATCAGGCTGTCCCACAGCAATTGAAGGTGCCTGGTGCTGGACATGCCACTGGTCAACTTGGCAGCTGCAATTGGCATCTGCCTGCTACTCATTAAGCTACTTTGTATGAAATAGTTTGGGTTTGGATTTTTTTTTTTACAGTATTTTTTTGCCTGTAGCCTAATCATAGGCAATATTATGAATGTTTCTTACCCTGCAGTCAAGAAAACCCTCTAGCTAGGGACAGAGAAGGGCCCAGAAAAGGTTAGGAGGCCTTTACTTTGTGCTTTCTCTCTAAAACTGACTAAAATCAAGCCAAGACTGTAACTCTGGAGGGGTTTGGACCATGTTTTACGAGGCCATTGAAAGCCATCAAATAGAGTGGGGAGAGAGTAACCTGGAAAAAACTGTTCTTGGTTTTATGTTCTCATGTAAGACAAAGAAGCACTTCAGAAACAAGCCACCAAAATTGCAGGATTATGGAAAACACTTAAATGGAGAAGGAGTAGAGAAAAACTTTCTACATCAGAGAGGATAGGGAAGTGGGCTATGGGGAGTTGGTGAGGCAGAACGGCTTTGGATAGCAGGGGTATGGCTCTTCATCCCTTCTCATGTGGCTCACTTGCATAGGGAAATAGCAATTTAATCAAGTCCAGAGGCTCTTCCAACCCTTTTGTATCAGCAAAGCTCCTGCTACTTTAGTTATATGGCATTTAAAGAGCTCTTTCTGAAGCTTCAGAAAGTCTAATGAAGGTCACAACCTGGTTTTGGAGTCTGAAAGTTAGTAATGGAATAATTCAAGCTGAGTTCTATATGTAATTCTGAAAAACTGTAAATATTGCTCTGTGTGAGAAAGGCTAGGCACTTTCAGAGGTTCTTAGTTTAGATGTATCACATGGTATTTTGACACTTACTTTTGTAAAAAGTATATACTTCATAATGATAGAAATAAAAATAATTAAAATCTCCACATTCCCCATCTGTAGGAGCATGTTCATCCCCAGGGAGAAATGCCCACTGTTTCCATCATTAGATATTTGCTGTTATTGCACTTCTGTGCAGAATATAAAGCAAAATATGTTTCAGTAGCTACATATGTTTTAATTATCAATTACAAAGTTTTAGCTTAAACAGTAGACAAACCTGGAAATGTTTTGTGCATCAAAATGACCAAACCCCAAAATAATACGAAGTCCTCAATTCACTGTCACACACATTTTTCATCCCAGGTTGCTCACAGTTCACCAAGTCAAATCAGTTAAATCATGTCCAGTTGTGGAATGACTGAAGTTCCTTCTGCAGTGCATTAAAATAAAAACTACAAAAAAAAAACCTCCCAAAGGTAAAGAAATGTTTTTTGAATCAGGATAAAATGTGAGAAGTGTGCGGCAGCATACAGTTCTCTTAATCAGTTTTTGTCAGACCATGGTTTTTCACTTGTGCCTAGAACAAGCTTTAAAGAGTAAAATGGGAAATTTTGAGTGTTAGCTTTGGGTTACAAGTAGCTTTTCTTCTTGTCTAATGTGTGTATCGGCATTATCCTGAAGCTAGACCACAAGGGACAACAGAGAAGTCAGCAACAAAATGTTGCATGCATTCATCATACAGCTAAAAGGTACAAAGTGCCATTTAAAAAAAAAAAAAGTGTTTGTTATGAGAAACATTTAAGAGAGAAAGAAAAACGACAACAAAATAACCCCCCTAACAAACCAAACCAACCAAACAGCAATTGCCTCCAATCTGGGAGGCTGAGCTTTTTTGGCAAGTATGCAAGGTTGTGATACTTGGCACATTCTGACTTCTGGTTTACTTTTCCTTGTGTTAAATAATCTTTGAAGGAGTGGTTTCTTTCCCAACTGTCTGGGGAATTCATGAAGCCTGAGTAATCTCTCAGTAGAGAGAGGTTCTTGACAGTGGCTTGCGTACTTTAGCTAGCTTGTGCTTTTTTTAGATTAGATTTGGGCCAAACACAGTTGTATAATATTTGTGATATCTTTTGAGCATCTAAATTTCTTCATCAATATGTTTGACAGATTCTGTTTTGATTTAATTTGGTATATCAAGATTCTCTATAAACTGTCAAAAAGTTGTATTCTCCGTGATAATGCTCACAAATAGAAAATAAAATGTCACTCTCCGCATCCTTACTGGGCACTTAAGCTGGATTGTAGTTTATATCCATGATTGGTATCTCAGGCCTGAGGAACAAAATGTTGATCTCTGTTTGTCTAATGGTGGTACCTGAATTACTCTTACTGCCATGTCCCAATGTTCTCATTATTGCTGCAGGATTACGTGCATATTTTCTGCACTGTCTGGATGCTCAGAGCATATTTCACTTCCTAAGTACAGTACAAAACCATTGTCACTCTGTCTCAACTGTTTAATGGTCATCTATATGTCATGAGAAGTCATTCACTAGTTCCTGTTGAATTTTTTCTGTTTCGGTCAGTCTTCTCATATGCATCAGCACCATCAAGTAATTAACTACTGTTGTTTGTTTATTTAAGAGATTTGGAACAGAATAAGTTAGTGTTATCATTGGTCTGCCTTTGGCAACACAAGCATGTCTTAGTGTTTACTGTGATTTGTGGCCCAGGGTGTTCTCAGTATTATATCAACATCATCAACCGATATTGTCCATTTTGTGTAACTAGTAGTTACTTTTTGTATTTTTCAAACTACCTAATTGGCCAACACGTATGGGAACAATGTATTGTACTGTTTTGTTGTGTTTGGGTTATTTTATAGGGTTGACTGTTACTGCTTTAAGATAGGCTTCCTTCATGGTCTCAGCTAAAGAGTGCATGGTGCTTAATAAGGTTTAAATGAGCCCAGTAAAAACATTCTGCAGAAGGATAAAAGTCTGCTAAAGCAAGAATGCAGTCATTGGAGGCACATAATGGGTTTGATTCTCCAGTCCCTTAAATTAGATTTTACAGATACAAAAGGTGATCTGAGTTACAATGGCATAAAACCTCCGTGGGAAGATCAAGCCCTGGGCCCCTTATTTATTCCATAGATCTCTACTTATTAACTTGTAATTCAAGAGTGAATGTTTTACAAAGAAATACCTGAGCTAGTCCTCCAGCATGTATAAGGGTTAAATCGGGCATCCAGGAACAACCAGGCACCAGTAGGCCATACAGAGCAACCACATGGTAAGGCACAGAGTAGAACATGTATGCCAGCATCTGCATTTTAAACAGAAATATTAGTTGCTTTGCAGTGAGGGAGATGCATTTAAAAATTAGGCAGCTGCTCACTGAAGAGTTGAGACTATTCAGAACTACATTCCTGGTGGCAATGATTCCCAGGCCTTCTTGCAGCTATAACTTCTTTGTGAAAAGTTGCACGCCTGGATGCTGCTGACTGGATCCAGCTACCCTAAGGCCTCCACCAATACTGATGGCAGTTGTCTCTGCCCTGTCCAAATCCACTTCATCCCAGGACATGTTTTCCTACCCCTTGGCGTATTGAGACCATGCCAATAAGTATGGCCTGACCTAATTCAGTGTCCAACACAACATGGGTGTCCATTTCTCAAGCTCCGCTGCAGTGTCGGCCGGGAGCTATGAGATATACCTGAGCCACCCCTTTCCCGGGAAGAACAGGTCCAGCAGAGATACGTGGTTTCTGCTCATTGTCTCACTCATGAATCCTCTTACTACTTCAGGCCTTGCCCCCAAGCAGCAGCCAGGGCTGCAAAAGAATGGCAACCTTGCAAATACTACAAAAGTAACGCACCACATTCCCTCCTCTGCAATGCTTGTGTAAGTAGGGTTTGTAAAAAGTATTGTATTTCAAGGAGTGTGTCACTGGTGACAGGAGTGTAACATGAGCTTAAGGAACCTTGTCCTGCTACACCCCATTTTGCTCCATTATTCCAGAGCAAAAGTCTACTTCATCCTTCTAAGGAAGGGAAATGATCATAAAAAGCATATAGATCTGTTTCATGGACTATATTAAAAGAAGCCTGAGTAATTAGGTTGTGTAATTCTAGGTAACTGGTTTGAATCTGAGTTAAGTTTATCACATCTTGGTACTTTGTAATGACTATAGTAAAAAACATGAAATGCAATTTAACTTGCCATGAACAAATACTTCCCTTATTGATCTTGTCATCTGTGAAATCCATGGCTTCATCTTTGCACCAGTTAACAAATCACTTAACACTCTATGCTTCACAGTCAATGCTTTACCTGAAGCTTAGGATAGGCAGCAGGGTCTTTTATATAAGGCTCGTGAAGTTGAATATATAGCCGGCAGAGTTCAGCAGGGCAATCCAGAGCAATCTAAGAAGAATTTTTAAAACTTCCTGTGAACAAAGAATTTGTTCTAAAACGAGCTAACCTGACGCCTGTTACCAGCCCTAAAGATTCACTAGCTGTCTGCAGCACTGCTACCCTGGAGGCTTGCTCAAATCCTATTGCAAAGGCGATCCATTTGATCACTAATTAAAAAGCTGAAATGCAGCTTCCTCTCAGCTCCCGCTCCAAGGGTTTGCAAGGAAATGCCAAAAGCCTGCTTTAAAGCTTTTGACTAGAAGGTAATTCAGTCAGTTGGCTATGGTGTAGTAAAAGTGTAATTGCTATTAATTTGCTCTGATAAACAGACTTTGATCCCAGCAAATGAACTTCCCAATGGAAAATTGCTCAAACAGTGGAAACTTCAGGTTAAGCACCCAATTTCAGGATAGCAAGCTATGAATGTAGTCCAAGGAAGAGTTGCATTGTGACAAGGTAGCAGTAGAGAGCAATGCAGAGAGACAGGCTTTACTTAATGATAATTTTTAAAAGAGAGTAATAAATGAGAGATTATTGGATTTTACATTCTTACAGAAAAAACAAACCTCCCAATAAACATGAAAAGAGAGCCGGTTGTAAAAGTAGTTCATTTTCATAGTAGCCCTTGAAACTACTACAGCAAATACTATCCTAAAAGGAGTTAGCAGTCTGTGTCAAGAGCTGTCACTTTGTTTTATGGCAAGGCATCATTAATGCCTAAGTTCCAGGACTGAACAGTAAGTTTTGCACAACTAAATTTCATGTGTATTTGTTGTGTGACTTTGAGGGGGAAATGTAAAGGTTTACAAACAGTGGATATCCCTCCCTGTTCTTTTACAACGTGGACATTCAAGAAGCAGGTCTCAGTAGACTATAAATCATGGTTACTGCAGTTTACACATGGATTTCAGTTGTTCTTTGTATGTAAAAATAATGGTACTAAGGAGTTCCTTACTGGTAACTAGTTTCTGGTAAAGGAAATATATAAGGAAATGACCACACTCTCAAAATCAACAAAAAAATTCCTCTGAGAAATTGCAGAACCAAGTAAGATGTTGGAGCATGAGATTAACAATTCCCCACAGTGAAATTACAGGTAAAACAGCTGATTATCCTGCATCAGTGGTGCTTTGTAGTAGCAGGATCTATAAAAAATAAACCAGTCTAACAAGTTAGAAGAAAATAATATTTTTGAGAGGTGAGTTTTCAGAGAAACAGCAGAATATGATAGAGTAATGTGAGCAGCAGAACTACAAAAGGACAATCTACCTAGGTAAATTGCTTGGGTACTTATCGTCACCTCTTACTTGAATTATTCTAGGCAGGATCAGATCTACAAATCAAGTCAGCAGGCAGTTTTCCAAGACACCTAAACATTTGAGCTCTGTTCACTGAATGATACACAACTTCCCTTCTGCTTAAGACATAAAATGCTTTAGAGCTGACAAAGGACTAGATTTACCTATAACTGGATTTATTTACTGCAAGAAGTTCCAGTACTGATTCATTCCCTCAGAAATTTTAATTCAATCAACTATGATTAAAAAGCAAACATTTTTTAAAAATCAGCTTGGTAAGTAGAAACAATGTGTTGTTTAGGTAACGTGAATAATTTTTTTTCTTGCAGGTGGAGATGTTCTCCTCTGTCTCATGCAGTGTAAATCAACTTGGTTTCCTATATAATTTTAACTATGCATCTCTATTTAGAAAAACATGAATACAGATTTAATTTAATTGTTTTGTGTCTATGTTAGCCATAAGTGTAACACCAGACCAATTAAAACAGTTTTAGGTCATTGGGATGCTATTTACTCTTGTGATTGTACTTCACCTTTTGAAAAATATACTTAGAGCAAAATGGAGACGCAAAGCACTGCTAATTATTATAAATAATCAATTTGTCCTTTTTATATCTAAGGCCTATTCCAGCCCTGAAAGTCACAGGATTTCCCTTGACCAAAACATACATACTTTTTCACAGACACAATTGTTGCAAATTTAAAAGTCTGACTGAAAATTAGAGGCCAGAATATTAAAATAGCTTCAACTTACCATGCCTCTGAATATGCAAAACACCGTTGCTAGAATGAGGTATGCAGCTAACATTAAATCTATTGGTCGTCTTAAGAGTCCTTTCTTCTGGACCTCCTGAACCACCTGCAACACAGAATGTGTTTAGTAAGTGTATTCTGACTCCATGTGATGTGCATTTAACTCCAGATCAGTCATTACAAGAAGGATGAAGCGGTGAAACACTGATAGATGCAGTTAGCTCTCAGTTACATTACGCTATTTATCCACCAATTTCAGAGTCAGAAAGATTTCCATGTGAAAAAGGGTGACTTCAGACTTTATAGGATGCAGTGAGGAAAATTAATCTCAATAAACTCCAGAAATGGATGGATCCAACTAAGGCCATTTCAATACAGAATGGCTTACTTTCAACGCAAATTAAATCAAATGAATTCTGCAATCACATAAGGCTTTAAAGCAGTGTAACTTCTTCAAAGTTGCATCTTTTGATAATTGGAATGAACACATTTTCCTGAACATCTCTATGTAGAAAAGTTTTGGAAATGGAGGCTCTTATCAAACATTTGATGTTGAATCTAATACACTTTGTAAAACTACTGTTTGGAGGGACCGCAAAATGAGGGTCTAACTCATTATTGACAGCGAATGCTGGCTTTCAGCAGCCTGTGACACCATTGAAATTAATGGAATACCACTGGCATAAAATAAAAGCTTTTTTGTGGTCAGTTGAGCTCTCTGAAATCAGTGAGCAAATATCTTAATATGTAATGTAGAAATATAGAACGGAATGTGTGTGTCTGTGCACATATGGAGCATGTGGAAAATCCTCCTTTCATTCTTTTATTACTGTATGTTATGGATTCCTCTGACAGGCACTGAAGCACTGCTCAGCATCTGGATCTGGTCTGTTCTGTACCTTGTTTCTTCTGACTCAGAACAGGAATCCCCCCCACTGCACTGCATGGGCAGATGTGAGGGGTTCACACTCTACAGTAGCAAAGGATGTATAGATACTTAATGTGGGAAATGGCTTGAAGGAACCGAAGTCACCTATTTGCCTGCATGGTAAAATTTACAAGACTCATGGAAATAACTTGAGGTACACTCTCAGCACTGTGTAGTCACAGACAGAATTATAAGCATATCAGAGTATCTTTCTGTAGTTCAGAGGGAAAACTTCTCCATTTATATATTACTCATTTCCTCTTCCTTTTTATTAGCTGTGTTGGCATGCAGACAGCAAAAGAAAAACCTGATTTCCTTCCTGTTATACACTTGTGGAATTCTCTCCAAAGCACAAAACAATAATTAGAATGTAGAGGCACAGTTAAAAGTGCTCAGGATCAAGAAACTCACAATAAAGTTATTGAAACAGGAGAACTGATCTTACAAGCACAATTACTGAGTAAGAACTACAAGATCTGAATTGTAGCTTAACAAAAATAAGGCTATTTTAAACACATAGGCCATCCCTTTCATAAAGCTATTTCTTTTTTTATTTTAAGGGATTTTTTTCAGAAAAAAAGTGACACCTTTGTTTTTCAAACACAAATAACAGGTCTGTTTTGGCAGTATGGTGTCACTTGACAGCATTTAAAGTACTAGTGTAGGAATGTTTATAATATTACCTGCAAAGAATGTCTATATTCTAATATTTATTTCCATGAAAGAAAAAGGCCTCCCATGGCTGCTGAGTTGCAAGTAATTTTCAGATGTATGCTACCTAAGGATAATGGAAAGTTTGAGGGTTGATATATTTCCTTCCCATAAATTTGTCTAAGTATGAGGCTTATATATATGTATCCTCCTTTCAAAAGGTATATTAAATTAACAGGCATATTTACTGTGATCTCAAAGGTATAATAGAACTTTGTACTTAGAGATTTTGGAGACAAAGCAAATATTAGTGGAAAGAACTTTGGTGCAGTATGAGTTTGTGAAATTGCTAAGGTACAGAAAACTCACACCTTTTTCTCTGTGCATACATTTATGCAAACAACATGAAAATCCAAGGCTTTAAAAAAGAGAGAAGCAAGAGTTTGGAAGACAGTATGTACTCTGCTGCTAGACCTCAGCTATGTAATAATTTTGCCTTACCCTTTTTTTACACAGCAAAGTCACATCGATACATGCTAAAATGAATTATGTGTTAAATACATCGGTCGAGTAGAGATGACCTGCCACAGGTTTCCTGTTTATTGCAAACAACATTGAACTCTGCACAGATCTCGCCAACCCTGCTGTTTCTTTTGTGTGGCAAGGAAGTATGTAGGCATGCTTTGAATTTTCTCTCGCTTCCAGGAAAAAGGTATTTTCCATAACTTCTGAAAGTCTTCTTACAAGATCAGTTTTAAGGAATCGAAATCATCTTGTGTTGTGTGCTGTCCATAGAAGTCAGTCCCTTCAGAATTCATGTGAAAATCTGAATTTATGCGTATTAATTCTGTTAATGAATTTTAAATTACATTAAGCTTTTCTGGGTTGATATACTTGTAGTTAAATCTGCTGGGCTTTGTAAATAGTGCAGCACAGCTTGGTTCGATTCTAAATGAGGGCACAACACAACTCCTCTTCCATGCACCCACCTCTAGTAGAAAACATCCAAAACTTGATTAGTACTTCTCTGTCCCCACAGTGATGATTTATTTTTTAAAAAAAAACTGGTTTATAATAATATTACAGCAATGAATACCATAGCCAAGAGACTATACCTTACTTCCATTGCTTTCATGTATTTTTCTATATACTTGCACTATCACATTTAAAAGCATTATTACATTTTCTTCCTAAATCTTTTAATATCAACTCTGAATAATGATAACTAAAAAATTCAATTTTGCAGCTAATTGCAAATGATCTATTGAAAGAGAACTAAATATTTTCAGGACTTACAATGATTAACTAACTGATTAATAGCATTACACACAATTATTTTCTGGAAATAATATTTAATTTAGGACTGAGAATTGTATAAAAAGTAAGAAAAATTCATGAGTAGTCATGTTAATATTTAAAGGCATTTTAATATATACAGTTATTGAATCCAGGTATTTATGCTTGGATATGGAGCATAAATTAGGCATGAAGATAAAATACAATTTATAAAAAAGAAGCAATTTAGGAAGGGTAGGAGTCCCCAGTGAAAGGAATCAAAGCTTCTTCTATGACCTCCTGTGCAAGGAAGTTTAGGTCTACAAGAAAGGATTCACTAAGAAATGCAATGTGAAATTTTCAGATCACCAGCTTTTATACACTCTTTTTGAAACCGCATTTAAAAACTAAGTTTCTCTGCACTATATACCAAAGTAAAATATCAAACCTAGGTAAGCAGTTTAGCTTCTGGTAAGCATAGGAGACATGGCTATATTTCAGCAAATAAGCAGTCCATCACATATTTTCTATAATAGCAATTTCTGTGGTGTTCTCATTACTGAGAAAACAAACTGAAACAAACTGAAAATCCATCCTCCATGCAAAGGATGTTCTCACTAATATATATGGCAAAAATCTCTCACTACTTTTAACTACACTTAATTTCTCTACCCTGATGACTCTAAAGAATGTGTTTCTGGTCAGAATTAGTGATGCCTTTAAGTAAATCAGCTCAAATTGCTTTGGGATGGGACATGTGGTTTCCTATAAGCCTATGCAGGAGGGTAGAAGGGGATTTGGCACCCGAAGTCTCCCCCAGTTTGCCTTTCATAAGGATCTGCCCTAAAAGTGGTGATTTTGTAGTGGTTCTTCAAACTTCAGGAGATACAAACGTCTGTCTATACCCATCTTTCCTACTGAAGAATCATGGCTGGATGGCTGAGTGTTACCTTTCATGCATTCCTGGGAAAATCTGTCAGTACATCATCTGCTGTTATTCTATGCCATAGGCTACACCACTTGCATACTGACTGCCTCTTAGCTATGGAACAGAAACCAACGCCTTCATCTGTGTCTCTGGTTACAGAATGAACCGAACTGAGACTCAGGAGCTCTTGTGATGCAAAAATATTAATTATGTTACTTGCAACTGATACGGTGTGCTGTGGCAATAAACTGGCTTGCTTATAGCAACAAAGAGTTAAAGATCTGTTCTGTGCTTTGTACTGCAGGGATTTTTTGTATTTTTATTTTCTATAAAACAGTGCATAAACCATTATTGCATTTTTTGATTGCTCAGTTAATCTTATTACAGCACAACTATTAAATTCAAAGGCAAAGGTATAAGAAGTTTTAAGTAAACATTATTTTTACAGATTTTTTTCTTAAGAAGTATGTAAATAATTTTTGTATCAATCAATGTACAATGTCTTACCTGTAAAATCTAACATTGCAGAATGCACATAGAAAAAGATAGTAAATCACATGAAATCTATAAGTCATCTGCAGAAGAATACTTTCCTGCAGAGCTTCTATAAGGATGTTGTAGTGCTTTATAAAGCTGGTATATGTCAGTATTTTCCTCAGCTAAGAAACTGAAACAGTCAGAAACTGAAAGGAAGGTGATAACACAGACCTTGAAATGGGTTCTTCACTCTAAACATGAGATTCTTTTGCTTTTTCTTTATCCCACCATAATGAAATGGTCCTGCGCTATAGATATTTTTACAGTGTCTACACAGCCCAGCAGCAATTGTCATAACATTGAACCGTTACAGTACATTCCATGCTCACCAAGGGACCTACAAAACTCAGCAGAAACAGCAAGCGTATTTCAGTTTTCCTAACAGTAGCCAATACTAAAAATACAATAATATTACCTTGACTGGAGTGTCATGAGTCACCGAAGGTTGGTTATAAATTCGGAACCCAGCCCATATGGGAAGGCAAATATATGGTACACTTAAGAAAAAAGCAGGACACACTTTTGTTCCATATTTGCCTGTTAAAAAATAATTATAAGATGCATGAGAATTTTTAAGCTGTGTTGCAGAAGACTTAAAATACCCTATGTAATATCAAACCTAAAGAAGCTATGGTAATGCAAACCTAAAACATTAGAAATATGTTAAATTGTAAATGTAAAAAAAAATGCTCGAGCAACACACAAATCTTATTGAAAATCATGTGCTCAATAATGATAGTCACAGGTGACAGCTTATCAGATAGGAAGCCATTTCAGAAACTAGTGGATTTTTTTCAGGGGACAGGAAACTACCTCTGTCAATTCAGTAAGTAATCCTATAGGATGGGACAGCTTTGAAACCTCTTAATGAAACCTGCTTCAAATAGAGACATCATTCTTTAAAAAAACTGAAAAAATTGTGTCCATTTTTTAAGATCTGATATAACATTTGTTTTCCAAAGTCCTGATGTCTCCTATGGGCCTGTACTAACATTTGAGGACAAAACAAATGCAGACTGATATCCTCAGCCCAGGTAAATCAGGAAAAACTGTCTTTTTCACTGACTACTCTCTATGTCAGAAAGGAAGGCAGAAAGCATGCTCACAAGAACAAGTTTCTCGGCCTTCCCTAGAGGGAGGAAGAAGAGATATTGCCACATTAAATTTGCTGACTGTTTTTTCTATGGTACATGTATATCTACAAAGGATGGAACTGGACTAGCCCCAGGCTGCACCATGAATATTCCTCCTCTGTCATAAAAAGTAGGGCCAGAGCAAGCTTTTCTGAAGCTGTCTACAGGATTTGGGCACATTAACAATTTGCTCAGTTGAACACTTGTCAACTTTGCATCAATTTAAGCTTTGTCAAAAAGGAAATATTCAATGGAAGGGGGCAGCACTCTTAAAGGACCACCTGCCAGTAATAATGATGTAGAATTTTTTTATTACAATTCTCAATCTCTAGCAGCACAGATATGCACTGATTTATGTTAAAAACCTAGGAATGTTAAATTATTTTGAAAATAGAAGAACTTCCAGATTTGACTTTTAAAGGTGATTTGGATGCCTCTTGTGAGCTTCTCGAAAGTCAAATTACTAAGTAGATTGTAAATTTGGTGCAAAATAAGATTTAGATTTTTTATGACACTAGGAGACAGTTATTGTCTCATAGCTCAAATTAAACCTAGTTTGCATGAAAGCTTTATGGGTATAACAAAATACAATACTTCGGGGGTTTTTTCCTTGAGAACAATGTAAATTGAAAGGTTTTTTTCCCCTGGTATCCATCTTCCCCTTCTTGTATTTAAATTTTGAAATATCTTCCAACTCTTTACTGATATTCCTAAAATTCCTCTTTCATATTATTACAGAAAGGAACTGACACTTCAATAATGAAATACAGATAACCTAATACTGAATTTAGAAAATGTTACATGGGAAAAAGTTAGTCATATAAATTATGTCCTTACCCACAATGTTTCCAGGCATAAAGACAATGATGCTCATAATAATGGAACCTAGCCAGTAGAGGCCAATGGTCCTATAGCTTTGTCTGTTTAAAAAAGAAAACAAGACATAATTATTGCACCATCCCTAAAAATCCACTACCCCAAATTACCTTCAAATATTATACTGATTGCCATGGTTGTATATTAATAAGCAAAGGTTTTAGAATCTGCACCACAAGTCAACAGTGGATTCTTGCCTCTGAGAGGGAGATATGGAGAAATCTTACATTCATGTGTGAGAAGGTTATCGCATGAACAGTACAGGATTTGTACAAACTCTATCTGATGTTATGCTTCACTCATCTGAAGGCTGACTGCATGATTTTGCACATCACAGGTTCTACAAGACTATCAAATAATTAATAATTTATTTAATTCTGGTAGTGCTTCTATTACCAGTGGGTACATTAGCCTCTAGAATTTAAGCACTTATTTTCCTCAAACCCTTTATTCAACAGCAGTAAACATAAGAATGCCTAGAAATAACCATTTTATCTTAAACTGCATGATCATACTCTCTAAAATGGATGCAAGAACATAATCATGTTAAGCAATACATTGTTCCTATCACAAATATGTTCTAAAAAAAGAAAAAGTTTTACAGATATGGTTTTAATGTGCATCCTGTTTAAGCTTTCATTTTAACTAACACAAGGCATTCAGAGGGGCTATGCTCTCTGCTGCAGAGTGAAGAAGAGAGCCTACAATTCAATGGATTTGTTGATCTTACTTAGCTGAGAGAAAGGAGAACTTAGTGAGGTTTCAATTCCTGAAAGCAACAAAATTTTAATAGTGTTGCTTTGGCCTAAGACATGAAACAATCCTGAAAGAAAAATCTAGACACTACATAGAAAAAGAAGTCCTTTGTAGGTTATATGAGAATGCAAGCAGAGTAAACAGTACACAAATCAAAATTACTGACTCCCATGCAATAGCTGCCACCATCAGAAGGTACATCAGATAATGAACGGAGCCATCCCAATAGCAGATCACATGGCCATATGCAGTGTTCAGATATGGTTCACCCTAGGGAACATTTATTTCAAAAAAGATACAGCGATTAGAGGAAGAATAACAAATAATCAATTAATAAAGAACAGCAGGAAACAATTTCAGAAAAGTAACTGATGTTCTTTCAATCCAGGGGTATAGTTTTTGACTGACAGTGCATGTTCTCAAGCACAAACTTGGTTTAGGTAGGATCAGGCATAATTAAATCAAACATATAGTTGCAAAATAGGGTGCAAGATGGAAGGAAAAACTCCTGTGTATGTCAGCATTGTTCTGCTATATTAGGGAAATACTGATTTTCCATATTTTAGTAATAAAAGCTACAAAATAAAGATATATTTAGCAACCTAGAGATCTACAACAGCATTGAATATATTGATGACAAGGCATAGCCTTGTAAGGTCCAGCTCATTCACGCTAAAGTTCACGGAATCTTTTCAATGACTTCAGTGACTTTCGTATCAAGCTCTTAGTGAGCTATTTTTGGTAGATGTTGATATTCAGCAGCCAACAGATTCTGCTGACTAGCTATCTGGCATCATCATTTTTTAACTCCACTTTAATTCCTTTTAGTGAAGTGATTAGGCAAAAATAAAAGCAATTTTGTTTCCTTCTTGGTAACACATAGGTACTGCAGTACTGATCCACTTTCAAATGCTGAGTATCTATTGCTTTCTGCAAATGTGTAGAGTCTATTCAGTTCCCACAAGTTCATACAGAACCGAATTACTTTGACTAAATGAAATAATGTTGGAGCTTGAAAGGTATGCTATTTTTTCCAAATGAAACAGTGATTTCAAGTCAATGAACATTTTGCCCATAACAATAATGAAACAGGTCAATGACCAAATTCAAGATGACCCGTTTTGATGTGTTAGTGGCTGTTTTTTTCCTGTGAAAATTACTATAAAAAGCTATAGTAAAGATTTTGTTTATATTTGTAAGCCAAACAATTGTTTACCTCTCTCAAGTAATGAGTCATGAATCCATCAATAATTCCATCCTGTTCCAGTCCAATTATTAGATTCACTACACTGGTAAAGGCAAATACAGCATAAACTGTAATAAGACAAAGGGAAAAAAAAAATAGATGAATAAAAGATTTAGAATCACAGTTATTTCACAGTCCGATAAATTCAGTCAAGCAGAGATCTACTGAACTAGATACATCTACTTTGAGGTCACAGATATTTAGCATACAGTGTGACTTTCTTGTATGGCTTAATATTTTTTAATTAGTAGTTAGTCAACAAAGTCCTTCAGGAGATTTTTTTAGGAATGTGAAATTCTGTAGAGCTGTCAGCACAGCCAACATGGAAAACTAGCATCTGCAGAAAGGACTATGCAGCCTTTCAAAAATCTTGGTCTCACAAAGTATACGACCTTGACTGTAGTCATCTCTTGGAAAGCAGGAAGGACAACAAAAAGGAGGTGCACAGGCAAATGTGACTTGCCATTTTTGGAGGAGAGCAAGGCAAACTGCATTAGCCACTGCAGTCCATAGGAGACCTACCGGCTAGTTAGCGAGTCACTCCTTTGAGACAGGAAATTTATTTGCAGTAGGTTTATGTTATTTATTTCCTTTGAATTCAGTGTGAACTGATAGTTCCCAGCCTCATGCAGAACAATGGGGACAGACGTCTACAAGTTGCAATGAGGAGGAAGATAGAGGGCAAATACGGGTGGTTTGTGCGTTGCTTTACCTACAGACCCATCTTGTAAAAATTTTAGAAAATGGCAGTGTTTTTCTGCTAGATTTCTGCTATAAGGTAATCTAGATCTAAGGTTTCCTTTTAAAAGGTAATCAGTATCTCTATTTTTTAATGGCAAAGTACCAATATAGAAAAGTTTGCCCTAGTCTGCAGGCAGGCTGAGCCAGGAGTTGGGGTGATTTGAGCTTTCTTATATGTCACAAAGGTGAGTTAACACTGAAGCCTAATAAAAAAGGCAGAATTAAGGGATTCAATCATAGGAAGAACTAAGCCATAGAGGCCATTGACCCAAAAGATCTAAAAACCCCAAATGACTCCACTCAGGATGAGATACATGAAAGAGGTCTACTGTAGTGTCTAAGTCCTGCTACAAGGAGGATCTTAACAGAGCAGGTATGAACACTTCCACAGCCCAACTTGAGTGTTATTCTTTTCAAATATGAGGTCTAGCTTGTCCCTAAGCCGTATCTCCTATTTGAGAAGAATAGAAAAGTTCAAAAGAAGCATTATCTCTCCTCCTTTTTCCCCACTCTTTCTTTCTTCCTTGGATCCTTAGCACCTCACCAGAGTGGGTTCTGAAGCCACACCTTAAATGTTCAATCTGAAATAACCATCATATGTTATCATTTCTATAAAGTAGCACTTTCTGAATTTAGCTTCATCGTTACCAAGGCATACCATAGAACAGCGGGTCTTTTGGTGGTTTTCTTTTGACAAGAACACGAGCCAACAGAGCAATAAAAACCAGAACCAGCAATCCAACTGCAACGATTGCCCAGGAACTGTAACAGTATTAAAAAGAAAAAGAATTTAAAAGAAAAGACAGAGAAAAAGACAGAATTTTGTTTCTTCAGCTTTTCTTACCAGCTATCCTCAAATGCACGTACTCTTAAAGTAACTTTAAATACTTTAAAAAGCTGTTTTTAAAGTCCATTGCATAGTCTGTCATCGTATTCATTTTATATTTTTGCAGAATTTATGTCCCTGTCTTTTCACACGTGATCATCTAAAAAAAGAAAATACGAAAATAACTAGATAAACAACATATCCAGGAGTCTAGATTTGTCTGACTAAAATCAGTTTTCATAATGGTATCTGCAAAAATAAACAAAAATGATGGAAAACTTAAAGGCCAATAAGAGGTGAAAGTCACAAACATAGAGATTTCAAGGCCAAAAAGGATCATTAAGGACATTTAGTCTAACCTCAGCAATAAATTATCTACTCAGGAAATTACATATTTGCAAATAAACCACATCAGTCCCATGGAATAGGAGTGGCAGTGCGAACTGCCTATGATGGTTTAATCTCCAGTTTTGGAAGTGCTACCAAAGGTCTCTCTGGCCCTATAAGGCAGAATTGCTTGGGCGGGCTCAGTAATCAGCAGGGGTTGGCTCGGCAGAAAGACCTTTTCTCTGAAGATGGGGCTACAATGATAGCGCACGTAAAGTGGTAGCTGAGGAAAGCAAAAAACTCCTTGGCACAAAGCAGATTTATATCCTTCCCCAGGAAAGTGCAAGTTAAAAAAATCAATTTGAAATTGGTTTATAGCCCTAAATGCATAAATTGTATTTAGTTGTCTTTAAGCCTCTCCTTTTCAGTCTTCACATTGTACTTGTGTGAAGGAAAAAAAAATGAGGGGAAAGTTAGGTAAAGTCTAGAAGCATAAGCTAAAAATATTTGGTACATGATTTTATACAGAGTACCACTCCGTTTGTCAAAAAACTAAACTGTGTACAAACAAATAATATTATGACAATTTCAGCCTTAGTGAATCTTGACTTAAAATTATTGCAAAAAGTTTGAAAGATCAAATATTTCAGAATATGTACACACATACTTTGTGAGTCAGGATGAGCAGTACTAGCTTGTTGTTTTATTTTACGGTTTGAATCTTCTGCTAATCTGTTTTCCCAGTGATGAATTTCTTCATACCGTTACAGATGTTAATATTGCAGTGACTTTTCACTGCAGTCTATCAATTTGAAATAAATATTGGCAATGAATCAAGTAAATCAGCATGTGTTATTCGGTATTTCTCTAGCAATGAGAAACAAAAAATAAGTTATCAGCCAGAAAGAGGAAAATGAGGAAGGAAGAGATGTAGCAAAGCCTTAAAAACACAAAGCAAATATTTGTGAAGTTGCAAAACCCCCGAGGCCGTGGGATCACTAAATACCACACGGACCTTTATGGACATTGTCTTTTTCCATGAGGAAAGACCTTTATTTTCTGCGGTTAGAGCGAGGGCATACGGACATTTTCAGTTAAAACTTGCAGGTCCTACGGGGCGCCTGAAGCGTGCGGCTCGGGAGCTTTCCGAGGCCCTTCCATTCTTTCCGAGTTCCTCCATTCGTGTTTAAATAGAATTGGCTTTTGTTCGCGAATCCCTTGACGGGGAGCCGGAGCGCGGCCGCAGCGCGCCGGGGCAGCCGGCGGGGCTGAAGGCGCGGGGCGGCGGCAGCTGCGGCGGGGCCGGCCGGTACCTCCCGGGCCGGTTCGTCCTTCGGGCGGGCCGCATGCGGGAGCGGCGGGGACGCGGGGACACGCTTCGGGGCGGTGCGAAACCGGCAGCTTCGAGGGTCCCGAGGCGAGCGGCCAGGCTGGAGTCCCGAGCCAGGAGCCCTGCTCAGGTCTCCCCGCTGGCATCGCGGCGCGGCTCCCGTTAGAGGACGCGGAGCAGGACCCAGGAGCGGGGCTCCGGCTGCCCGCGGCCAGGCCCGACCCGCGCCCTCCCCCCGCCCCGTCCCGCTCAGCCTCGCGGCCGCGGCTGCCCTCTCCCTGCGCCGCCGCTAAAAATACCCGCCGGGCTCCCCTGCCCGCCCGCACCTCCCTCACCCCCGCCGCCCGCTCCCCTCCCCTCCCCTCACGGCAGGGCGGGAGTCGCCCGCCTCACCTGCCGGCCGCCGCCAGGGAGTTGAAGAGGTACGTGACAGGGATGGCAGTGAGGGAGAGGACGAAGACGCCGGTGGCGGCCGAGGCGCTCATCCCCGCGGCGGGCGGAGGCGGCAGCCGCCCTCTGCGCCCCGAGGCCCCGCGCCCTGCCCCAGCCGCCGCCTCCCCTCAGCCCTGCACGCCCCGCGCCCGCCGCCCGCCCCATCGCCGGCGCGCGCCCGGCGGCGGGCCGCCCCCTCCCGCCCCGCGGCGGGAAAGGTTAAATCCGCCTCAGAAACCGGAGCCGCCTGCGGCTCCCCCGGCGGCTCGGGGAGGGCGGTGGGAGCTCCTGCCCCGGGGGTGGAGTGGGGGACCGACTGACCAAAAGGCGAGGCGGGGCAGGGAACGCGGCCCTCGCGGGACCGTGGGCGTGAGGCGGCCGGGACGGGGCTCCTCCGGTAGCCGCCGGCCGGCGACCGCGGCGAGATGCCAAGGGGGTGCTGTGACCGCGGGACTGAGTGTTGTGAAAGAGGCTTCACGGGTTAATTATTGGCGATAATGGCGCTGCGAGGGACCGCGGGTGGGTGCAGCCGAGGGCGCCGTGTCTTTTCGGAAGCGACCCGTGTTCGTGGAAGGTGGCAGATGGAAGAGAGGTTCCCTTGATCTGACCGGTGCAGGAGTCAGTGTTCTCTAAGAAACCCATAAGAAAAAATTACGCATATCTTTTTACATCAGAATTTAGCTGGGTTATTAAGAACAAGGTTTCAGTTTATCCATCAGCATTTTTTTCTGGCTTCAAACTTTGTTTATACAGCAGTATCAGCAGTAAACTGTAAGTGTGCAAACAAAGGTGGACTGAGTCTTGTATGCCAAGCAAACAGAAATGAAAACCACTATTCCTAGAAGTTACTGAGCATTTAAATCCAGGACATTGGCAAGAGAGAATGATCATCCTGCGTTGCTTGGGGAAAACCAGCAAATGCATTTCTAGCAAGCTCTTTCTGGTAGAGATGAGGAAGCATTAACACCGTTGCAAAAGCACCCATTTGGAATAACGGGCACAATTCTGATTCTCTCACATTGAAACGATACAAAAGAGGACTGTGCGGAGGTGGCTGAGGAAACAGGGCACCTGTCCATCAGCAGGAGGCTGAAGAGCTTGGCATACGAGTGCTCTCCATAAATACTTGAGGAGTTAACACCAGGGAGAGGAAAGAACTCTTTAATTTGAAGGACAAAGCTGTGAAGAAACTTTGACTAGTTTTTGGAAACAGATTTTTAGCTATGAGCAGGAAAGGGTCTTCTAAGTCTTTTACAATAAGAAATTAATTCTTTAAAAAAGTTCAGTTTTAAGATGTTATTTAATAAATTTAACCAAAAGACTAATTGATACGTTTGCCTCTGCCAGAAAGGAACTTGATGACCCAGAGTATATCTATGTCCTATATATTGTATACAAACAAATTCTTACATAGTTATTTCAAATGAGAAAGGTCTATAATCTGGCCATAGGTATATGAGTGGGTTAAACCATGCTCAATCAAACTATCTGGTAAAAACATGATGCAACTCCTAAAAGTAATTTAGTCCACCCAAGTGTCAAAATTGCCATTGGATGAGTCAGGGCTAAATTTACCACCTCCAAATGCCTACCTTTCAATGCACAGCCAGTTTACTTCTCAAGCTTTCAAATGTATAGGCTGCTTATTTGTATGCAGCTGCCACAGTGCAGTCTCAAGATTCATGTTTCAAGCTTTGCTTCTTAGTTTCCATGTTCGTAAAATCAAACACTATATGGGAAACTTCTTCCTTACCACTCTGCCAGCGTATTCCAGCATTGATTTGCACTGGGCTTGTTAATCAAGTCCTGTCTCAGCTTCTGAGTAGAAACTGTCAGGGCACATCCTGTGGCGGGCAGATAGCGGCCCACCTGTATGGGGTGCATTGTTTGACTCTATTATGTTGAGATCTATCAACTTCTGACTAAAAAATAAATTATTATGAACATCTGGTAGCAGAAAAGACCCCTGAAATGGAATGTTTGAAGTATGTATTCAAAAGGGCATGATTTTTCCTTTCATTTTCATCTCTCACCTTGTGAAAGAAGCACTAGCAAGCCTCCAGCTCCATCATTCCTTTCCATTTCCTGACAGAGGAGGCCCCCAAGTCCACCCATGGTAGTGTTGAACTAGTGGATTCTGGTATGCCAGATTTCCCATATCAGAAATCTTTATTTCTAGTAGCTACAGATTCTTCTTATTCCAACCTTCCTTCTCTGTGCCAAAATATCCTGGCTTCTGTTTCAGGCTTTATGAAGAAAATAACATCCCCAGCATTTCCGTTGACTTTATTTGTATGGTTGACACCAATTCTAAAGAAAAAGGAAGAACTTGCTCAGTTAGTGCAGCCCAAAACCACTGACCGACCTTCCCAATAACAAATAGTTCAAAATTTGGCTTTGAGTCAGAAATTAAGTCAAACACCATACTACCTTACTGATCAAACAACACCCTCAGTTTAAAAGCAGAAGTCCCCAAAAACCAACACATGCATTTCTCGAAAGCTTTGTGTTTTTGTGGGGGAGGAAGCGGAAAGAAGAACTTCCACTTCAACTGTATGTAACTCCACCCTCTATTCACATGTACCAGAAGAGCAATATAAAAGTGAAGGTAGGAATAGGTTGTCTTTAACAACATAATTACTAATCAAAGGGTTACATGAAAGTGGTGTTGATAAGATGCTGTCACCAGAATAAGTGTAACATCTCAGCTTCCTGTCACATAATCAATTATATTCCTTTCTTGATGTTGCAAAATCATTTTTTCTTTCTTTTTCCTGAATCTTATAAATGGTAACGTCATAATGAGTCACATGGATGCCATCACTTGTAGAGAATCATACAACTATTTAACTACTTTGCAATATTAGATGTCAAGATAAGATTGAAAAACTACATAAACTGCAGTGAAGCTTAGGAAAGCAAAATGGAGTAATAAAAAGCTCAAAATTAAGACGCCTTCCCATGCCAAAAATTATCAAGAGCATCGTATTTATTGACATGAGATTCCTAGAGTTCTAATATTGTGTTTCATCTGAAAGACAGTCCTTTCAGCAGCACAGTTCAAAAATTATGGTCCTTCACCACACTGTAACATCCCTGTGTCAGAAACTACATGATTCTTGTCTAAATGGTAATTTTTAAATAGGTAGCCCAACTCTCTCCCATATCCCAAATATCAGCCTTATGCCACGTGACAGATTCCTCGCTGAGAATCCTGATGGCAACAACAAACCAGATCCATTTGTGTGGCCCCTTGGCTGGCAACACTCGGCTCACAAGCGATATGCTTGGCTAGTGTTGGTCAGCTGCTTGATTAGACCATTACTGGATCAACAATCAGTATTTATAATATGGAAGATGTTTCTCTTCAGTCTCTCTACTAAATGGCTTCACATCAGTCTTGATGTCAGGACTAAGAAGGCATTTGTAAGTGTGCCAGCAAAAGAATACTGTGGAGGACATAAAAATGTTTATTTATTAATGGTCAGCTACAGAGTAGGAGACTAACTGGCCATTAGGTTTTTGTATCTACTTTTAGTCTGGGAAACAGCTCTGATCTTTAATAACTACCTGTTAAATCATGACAAATTGTAGGGTTTAGCATTATATTGAGACATAGCTGATTTTATATTAAATCAAAGAAATTACATTAATCTATACAAATATAGGTAGGTGAACCTTAAGCAAGCACATGAAGATCAATGCAAGGATTAAGAGATGCTATTTAAAGCTCATGGAAGCATCGCTCATGTGTTCACATATGGCTCTGCCAAGCAGCAAGCTTTCCTTTCATTATGATGCCAGCTACAAAATACCATCCTGGTACAAAACAACTCGTGTCATTCAACTTTTATTGGAGTAAGCTGATACATTCTTGAGAGTGTATTTCCTGTGTTTGCAAGTGAGTTCTTAAGGCGAGAGAAGTCAGTAACCAGTAGTCCAGATAAAGATGAATTAAAAGGTGAATTTAAAAATATTCATTAAAAGCTTCATGTTTGGGACTTCTGTTAATTTGTTAATTTGCTGAGACAGCAGCTTTGACCACACATAACTGTAATCCTTTAACAGCCTTAAAGCCAAGCTATTCTATTGCTGAATTTCTTGTTAGTTGAGGATGTAACACCCAACAAACGATGTTGTATTGTAAATCACAGACTGCATGGTGCACCAGAGGCGATGCACTGTGGTTTATACAGTATGCACTGGGGGTCAGGAGGCCACGCGCTAATGATCTGCTGAGGATGTGGGGGGATTCGCCAGCAGCAATCACAGCACCAAAGAAGGGTGCAAAGAGGAATTAGTGATTAGTGTCCATTCCACTTACAAAATTGAGTATCAGTATCTCAAAAACAGAGCTGCTTTTTGTGCTACAGCCTGTCTATTCACCAGAGAGTAAGCTTAAGAGGGAAAGAGGCATGTCAGAGTAACGTTAGTAGGCATTGCAGTAGAAGGGCGTATGTCAGTTGTACTATTAGACTTAAACTGTAAATGGCAACAGTGTGGCTTCTCAGTATGAATCTCATTAACTGTGTGGTAATTGAACTGCTAGCTGAATAACCTGGTAGAAATGAAGGAAATGTGTGCTCTGCCTGAAGCGCTGCTGTGCCTCAACACATTTAGCAGGGATGGAAAAGTAAATAGCTCACAAAATGGCCACTGTTCAATCATAAAGATATGCTACTAATAACTAATAAAAGAATTTCCTCTCCTTTGTTTTTCCAGCTATGCAGGAACAGAACATTTTTAATTACATAAAAAATATAGCAAAGTGTAAGATTTTTCACAGAGCCATCCATATCGATATTTGAAATTATATGTAAAATAGGTATGTGGTGAATAAAATCCTCTAAAGCTTAATTGATTTGTTTTGGTTTGTAATTACTTTCAGATAAAAGATTTGAAGAATGTTGCTGTTGCCATTTTTAAATATATTTTTGAAATACATAAATGTGCAAAATGAAAAATGAAAGACCTACCTCCACAATTGGAGTAATTCAAAATTTCCATGTGATATTTTTATCAGTTGTATCCATCTCTAAGCTAGGATTCTGAAAATTTTCACAGAAGTATTTTGACTAGCAGGAATGTTTATGGCCACAGTATACTGTAAGCAATAATTACAATATATTAATGCAGAAATTATTATCACTAAAAATCAGGAAAGTATATCGGTAGAACTGAGGGCACAAGATACATAACAACCCTAATACTCCGGGACAGCTAAGCAGCACAGCTGAACTACTTGTAGAAATGATAGGGCAAAGAATTATGAATTTTAAATCTCTGAAAAAGTTGCATACTTATTATGGTCAGTTTTAGATTACAGTTGAATTTATAACAGAGAAAACATACCAATTGCTATTATGTTGGCTTTTTTATCAACATTATATAGGCATTTTACAAGACGTAATAAAAAAATGTAATCCCTGCCCTTCAGTGTTCCTCAGCTCTAAGGCTCTAAACTTGTTTTCATTGCATGCATGGATCCAGTGCTCCAAAAACTGCAAGGTTATGTTAGCTGCAGACCCCACATCACAACAGTACAGGTTAATGTGAACCAGAGAGAAGATAACAGTAATAATCACAATAAAAAGCCCAAGGAGATAAATTACTATTATTGTTATTATGATTATTATTATTGTTGTTGTTCTTGTTGTTAGAAATCATTGTTATTACAAATTTATACATTTGTGCAACTTTAATGCTACTAGTAATTCAGTCATGGGAATGGTAATATGCATTTCTATTATTCATCGCAGTGGCATGGATCACATGTAGGGGATTTTAAGAGTCTAATTGAGCATGAAAAGAAAAAGATGTCATCAAAGGGCTCCAACCAGGAAGCTTAATCAGAAACAAATCTGTGATTTAGTCTGAATTATTCTCTTCCCTCCTGAAGCAGAGAAAGGATGCTAACTGCTTACGAGAACAATTGCTAATCACAGTAAAAGTATGTGCCAGCTCAAAAACTCTGATCATAACAACAAACAGCTCCCCAGAACATACACAAAGCTGAATTCATGTGGGGAAAAGAAGGAAAGGGAGGAGAATTTAAATAATATCAGGAACAAATGATTGAAAACAATATGCTTTGTAACCCAAACCCTTTTGATGGCTCCCACAGAACTGGCCCCATTTCACTGGCCGGGAAGGCCAGGGCTTGCTGGGCAGGCATTCCTGTGTCTCTGGGACATCCCTGGCATCACAATTGTCTCAGAATTCCCTGCAGTTTGATCAGGACATTCTCTGGTTCCTCTTCAGTATATGTAAACCCAGTTTGTCCTCTTGCTTGCTGCTCACAGGTGAAGGAACCTCAGAACTTGGAGAGTACATCCTTCCTGAATTTCCACAGAAAAAAGGCACCAGGTCACCACGAGTTTGCTCAGGCCATTATGTAGACCTTGAAAATGAGTTGCTCAAGAGTGTAGACACTCCCTGACCTTCTGTTTTCCTGGCTAGCTATCAGGACAACCTTCACAGCCATATAATATAATACTGTTGAACTTTTGTCTGCAGCCCTTGATTTGTAGCCATTCTGTTACATGAGATCAAACAAAAAGTTCTTCTTGGGCCAATCTGCACTGCTTGTGTTATATAAGTATTTTTCTCTATATTAATTTCTGCTATATTTCCTAGGTAAAAACTGAGCATGCTAAGAAAGCAAACAACGGGACAGCATTTTAGTGACATTCATGTGTAGCTCCTTTTCAGAGAAGCATTGTGTATTATTTCTGATCTGGACTGGTGAATACAGTCCCATGACATCACATTTAAAAATGGCTATGATCCACCTACTGATAATGCCAAAGAAAAACTGGCTGATTTTTTTTAAGAAGGAAGCTGGCACGAAGATTACAAGGTCCGAGGCTTGTTGTCTACATGCAGAAAAGCCCAATTTCAAAAGGAAATCTGTTATTTCATGTTTTCTTAGCTCTCACTTCCAAAAGTGTTCAAACTAGTGCATATGGCTTTTAACTGATCAGATCTGATGGGCATTCAAGTCACATTTCTCCCTTCCTTTGCCTCCTTTCCTGTTTTTCTTTTTTTTTTTTTTTTTTTTTTTTGTAGACTTCTGAGTTCTTTCATATTATTTGTTTCTTTCCCCTCATTTTCTCTCAGATTTCTCTCTTGGCCCATCTCATAGGTCTTTCCTATTTTTTCTACCTTGCATACCTGCTTCTTCTTATGATTGATTTCTCATCTCTGAAGTGATCTTACATACAGTCTGCCCCAGCCACCATCCTTTTAGTTCTTTGGCATACCTTTCCCTCTTTTTTCCTTAACCCTCTTCCATCCTTGTAAACTTCCTCTAACGTGTTACTGTCAATATGTTCACTTTTTACAAACACGGTTCTCTATAAGCAGAGCAGTCCTGGCTGTTGGCTCTCAGCTGACAGACTAACCTGTGGGCAAACACAGAAAGGTAAAAGCAGAAAGACATCAGTGACAGAAACTCTCATTAACACCCAGATCATCTCATGATTGAAAAAAATACCACCAAAAAACTATTTATTTGTGTCCATGGTGTCACTGTTCCTCATGATTTTTACCATCTTGGTGCCTATGCTATCAGAGGGAATCTGGGCTCCTCCTGCTTTCCCTTCTTTGCTCACCTTGGGACAAGAAAAGCACAAAGGTGATACCTTCATTCTTCTAAGTCAGCATTATGATTTTATATTTAAATATAGCTTCTGTGCAAAGCTACTTGCTGCTTTCTGGTTGGTATACTATGTCATCTTGTGCCCTTTCCCACTATAGTTTATCCTGCTGAACTTGCTTCCATCTTGCTTAAGGTTCTCTAAAACTCGTTCTGCGAAACGGGCCACATTTGTTTGGTCTCAGTTTTGTCCTAATTATAAACCTAAATGCAGAGTGGTGACATATTCTATTCCTCTTTTAGCCACACGCTTCCATAAATGCTGACAAGACGGGAGCTGTGATAAATAGCTTTCAGCTCCATAATTTAAATTGCTGCTGTATTTACAGCAAAAGTCCAGTAGATGGCAAGATGATCCACCTTATTTTTCATCTGACAGTGTCTGACAGGACTGTGAAAAGGCAGATATTACTTTTTTTTCTTTCCCCTTTCTTTTTCAAAAGCCAACAAGATAGCACACTAAAAATGATACTATTTTGCTTGTCAGAATTTGCTAAATTAACTCGCTACCCTACATTCCCTGGTCCGGGGACGTTACATTTTGATGGCTACTGTGTTTTTCTCCTCAGAAGCTTAAAACACAAAATGTCAAGATTTTTTTGTATAAGAACTGTAAGGTATATGTGCCAACAGTCATTAATATTTCAACATTATGTCAGAAATAGCTAAAATAAGTGATCGATCCTTGTTTTGCCAGTTATCGTAAGGAATCGGGTATTATAAAAAAAAAAAAAATGCATTTCACGTGCCTCAACAGAATAGCTGCAAGGTTTATTCATTCCCGCATGCAGCAATATAAATCTCCGCGACTGTTGCGGTTCTCTGCGCTTTGCACGCCCGCTTTTACCCCCGCCGCGGCTCTGGCAGCACATTCCCAACGCACGCGCGGGTGCCAGACGCCTGTATCAAACTAATAAGAGAGACAGACCCAAAAACACGGCCTAGAGGGCACGGCCGAGGCGTGGAGGAGCGGCAGTTCCCCTCCCCTTCTCTCCCCTCCCCGGCGGTCGCCTCCGCCGCCCGCGCGCCCCCTCCCTCAGGCTCCCGCGCGCCCGCCGCGGCAGGGCGCACCGGCAGCCTCAGCCCCGCCGCCTGCCCGCGAGCCTGCGCGGGGCAGCGGCGCATGCGCGGTGAGCGGCTGGCGGCGGGGACTCGCGTGCCGCCGGCGGACGGAGCGGCCCGGCCCGGCCCCTCAGGGCGGCGATGGCGGCCGCCGGCGGCGGCTCGGCCGCGCCCGTGGAAGTGCCCGCTGCCACCGCCACTGCCGCGGAGGCCGGCGCAGTGTTGCAGCGGGAGCCGCTGTACAACTGGCAGGCCACCAAGGGGTCGCTGCGGGAGCGCTTCGCCTTCCTCTTCTCCAACGAGCTCCTCAGCGACGTGCACTTCGTGGTGGGCAAGGGCAGCCCCCGCGGCGGCGGAGGCGGCGGCGGCGGCGGCGGGGGGGGGGCGCCCCCCGGGCCTGGCCAGCAGCGCATCCCCGCCCACCGCTTCGTCCTGGCTGCCGGCAGCGCCGTCTTCGACGCGATGTTTAACGGCGGCATGGCCACCACCTCGGCTGAGATCGAGCTGCCCGACGTGGAGCCCGCCGCCTTCCTGGCGCTCCTGAGGTCAGGTCGCGGTGGGGCGGAGGCGGGCGGCCCCGGGGGCACGGTGGGGGCTCCTGGGCCGGGGGCACCGCTCAGCGTCCGGCCGGCATCGCTGGGCCGGGGCGGGGGGACCCCGCTCGGCCGCCGGTGGAATTTCCTCGCCCCGCGGCCCCTCCTGCTCCGGTTCTCGAAGGGCCCTGCCTTTCCCCCGGCCGCCGTGTGCGTGGCCGCGCAGGGAGATGCAGAGAAAACGCGGAACCACCTCATGGGCTGGCCGGCAAGGTCGAACCGCCCAGCGAGCACATTTTCGTTTCTTCTTGCTCTTTCCCCTACATCCGTTTCCCAAGAGAAGCGTCCTGATTTTAGGGCAGCTAATTGTCCGTTTGGAAAAGTACGTTGATAGTGGTGGTTGTCTGTTTGGCTCTTTGATTCCAGTTTTCGTTTTTTTTTTTTTTTTTTTTTTTTTTTTAAAGTGAGATGATGGGAATTAGTGATTCTTCTGAGTGTTTCAACTATCCATCCACCTTCTAATAGTGGTTAAGAGACAGAGACTGTTCTACCAAGCTTTTAATTTCTTTTGATACTTACTTTGAAATTTTATTCATTTTACTGTTCACTTTTTCAGCAATGGTAATAAATTGTGGTTTTGCCAGAGTAATACCTATTGTAGTCACATTTATTTCAGATACTCTTGGGTGGAGAATGAACGTGCGGCAGAAGGCAGTAACTAATTGATTTTTATACACAAAACCACCCAAGTGAGACCATGAGTGCAGTGATGGCAAAAAGTATGTAAAGTGGGTTAGTGATTCTGAATTTGGGCAGAATAGGATCTGCTGCTTCTCATGCTCACAAAACTGATTAATTTATCTACCCTTTCTTTTTACTCAGTGTACTGGTAAATAAAATATATGCTGTTCATAGAAATGATTACTAATCGTTTCTTTGGGCATCAGGCTGCAGTGTGGTAGTATGGCCAGACTGCTTAACCCTAAGGTTTTTCTTAAAGAAACTCCTCTGCTAGTCAAAACTTCTATAAAGTAAATGAAACAGATTTCTGTAATGAACATTTGGGAAACAATATTATTGCATGGAGATAAACATATATTGTCTCGAAGCTTTCTGTAATGGGAGAGCTCCGAAACCTTAGCAATTTTCTCATTGTTTTGAGGCCTAGCAGATAAGAACAGTGAGAGGAGTCATCTAGTCCTGATTTAAAAAAAAAAAAAAAAAAAAAAAAAAAAAACAACCAAAAAAACCCCAAACCAACAAACTACCATGCAGCAGCAATGTCTCTGTGTTGCTGTTAGCAAATGAACTGTCTTTATTTTGTGGATGTTTAGCAAAGAGGGAATGGCAAGGTGAAGAGTTTGTGTAGAAGAGTGGGAGATAGTGGGAAGTGTCTTTCAAGTAAAATGGTTTCAAAGGTTAAAAGTAAATGACTCTGCACATATATGTGTTTATATATATGTGGAAAAACTACTGGATGGTGAAAAGTGAATATAATGAGAGAAGCTTGTCTGGATAAAAATATAAACACGGAAACAGGAGAGTGCTAAGTAAAGATAAGGGTGGTATTTGAAAGCTGGAGAAGTAAATGAAGAGATGTTGTTAGAAGCAAACAAAAGCCATCTTGTGTTAGCAGAACTGCTAGTACATAATGGCCAGGGGACTTACGTAAGAAAACATATTATACTTGTATCTTGTTTAAATATCACCAGACTGATGAACTGTTGAAACATCTCAGGTTTGATGTCATCTTCGGTATTAAATACATGGCAGCTTTTTAGGACATTCTTCCATATTATATATATTTTTTGAGCTTACGTTGGAATAAATACACATTTCAACACCTTGTTTAAAACATACCTAAGGAGAGCTTCTTTAATACAGACCAGTATAGGAAGTTTATACATATTCCATGCTTGTGTACACTGCTTTTAAAGTATACCAACTATAAGACAACCTGTGTTTTTTTCCAGGTGTTGGCCAGAAGAGACAAGAATTATACCTTGCACTGTTGTTCTTTCATCTATCATTAGTAAATTGGTCAGATAATGATAGTTCCCTTTTATAAGACCTATCTTTAATCTTTGCAAAGACCAATTTGGGGTGTATTGGTTAGAAATTAATACACATAGCAAATGAACATCAAGGTAAAGGAAACATTTAAGTGATGCAAAAGCTTTTGGGAATAATTTACTGATTATTTAAAGTTCCACCGCTCATTTCCATTTTATTTACTCATGTGGTTTGTTAGGTCTTATCTGTAGTTGATGTGTTTCATAAAGATCTACTGACAAATGTTACTTTTTAATTAAAGCCAAAGGAAAAGATTTTTTGATTAAATTTTTTCAGATTCTCTTAAAAAATTTATTCCATCTATATCTTTCCAGTGAGACTGGGTGTCATTTCTCTGTCCTATGATGTAGACTTTCATCAGTGTTAGTGTTTTGTCACAAAACAGATGGTAGTTCAAGAATTATGTTTATGAGGAAAAAAAGAGTAGTTAGAAATTGAGCAATTTAAACATCTGATAGTCACCAAGTTAATGTGACGTCTGTTTTTTGATTTTTTTTCTTTTGGATATAGTTGTACACAATTTAAAATCAGCTACAGTTGCTACCTTTTTCTAACAGGGGACTTAAAAATAATAAATTTGAGAGTTAGTGTATGTAAAAATAATGAACTGAAACTTTAATTGATAGTACCACTGTAATTCCTGTAATACATTTTAGGATTTCTTTTTTTCCCCTGGAGAAAGTTGGATAGTCGTCCTTGTCTGTGGGCTAAAATCTTAGCTGTAAAGATGGGAAAAGAGGAGCCTTGAAATCAGCTGAAGCGGAGAGAACTTTCTTAGAAGACACTTGGCCAAGCTCAAAGGCTTAGGAATGACTGTGGTGTGTGTTTTGGCTTATCAGCCACTATTCCTCTTGCCTGGAGAGTTTTTAAACATGAGACAGGAGGTTTTTTAAAAGCAGCTGACTACTTAAGCAGTTTAATAGATAAATCCTTGAGAACTGAAATAACATCAAAGTCACAAAGTTTGAATCTGCTTCCCCATTAAACAGGGAGTTTTTGGTATGTTTCTAACTGTACAAATTGAATAGCAATGATCAAGAAGATTAAGGTTGTCTCAGTAGGATTCTGCTTTAGGGTTTCATTTTGTTGTTTTTAATAAGATTTTTTAAGATTTCATTCACGTTTTACAGTAATTTAACTTGTCCTTTGATCATTGTATAAAAGAAAGTAACAGCATGGCACACGTTTAGCAGTCCGTCTTCCAAATGTCTTTGCAGAGGACTTTGGCAAGCAGTAAATACAGGGGTAGCCATGACTAACTAGAAAAAGATTCCTGTGTGCTTTTAGAATGGTGAAAATATTTCAGCTGTTGGGACGATACTAAGACTAGAGGAGAAAGAGGTGCTAACCTGAGAGTAAAGAAAAGTGGCATAAAATGTATGAGACGCTTGTGTAAAGGGAATGATCTAGCGGTCGCTTGTAAAAATTGTTCTGGTCATTAAAAGCGCACTGTGGACGTGCACTCCCACACCCCCCATCCTGGATGACAACATTAGCTAGAGAGCAGGTTGTTTCTCTGAGGCTCTCGAAGGGGAGGAGAGGAGGGAAGAAGGCAAGGGGGAAGGATAAGTGATCTTGAGCCCCACTAAGTTAAGTGGAGGAGAAACACTGGTATAAACATAAAGGTGTGCTAGTTCAGGCATGCCACAAATGGGAGAGTTGACATAGAGACATCTCTTGGCACATGAGCAGAGGGATTTTTAGAGGGAAGACACACCTAGAGTTCCTCTTTCATGAGTTGATGAATGCATCATGATCATCCATCCATATACTTAAGGGAAGTAGGATTATACAACATCCTAGAGCAATGTACTTTATTACCATTTTTGTTGTTTTTACAGCTGCTTTTTAACTTTGCAAATTCACACTTTTTAGTATTTGGTAAAGGCTATTGTTTGGCTCTCAAAATTCCAGAATAGTATTGATGTTGTCAAAAACTTGAAATATTAAACACGAAAAACTGGCAGTGTGACTTTCTTAATGTATTTGGATGCCTCTTGTCCTGAGTTTTCTCAGTTTCAAAGTAATGTAACTGTATCACATGTTCTCTCACTATGAGATATGCCCTGTGGTGATCGATGTCTAGATAATGAGATCAGTAACTCCATGCAGCATATCACCTCTCCTGGGCAGAGTGAATACCATGACTGATGGAGCCCAAAGTCGTAGACCAAATGAACTCAGTGGGGTGCTTAATAAGGATGTGTTGTAATAGTGTGGGACCTGAGCATGACGTAAATGCTGTGCAATAAGGGGTGGTGAATGTACTAGGTTTGGCCAGGATAGAGTTAAATTCTTCATAATAGCTACTATGGGGCTATGTTTTGGATTTGTGCTGACAATAGTGCTGACAACACACTGATGTTTTAGTTACTGCTTGAGATGCTGTGAAAATTTTGGTGGTCAGAACTTTAATCACTTAAGATCCATTAGTTTGTCATTGACACACTTTCAGTTGGGGAGTGTTTCTTACTGTATATCCAGCCATACAGCAGGGGAGGGATTGGAGCATAGAGCCTCAAGTGTATCCTTCATGGGATGAAAAAGTATCCTGTAACTCTTAGATCTCTCACAAATGAAAAACCTGCATGTATATACACTGTTGCCACATTTGAATTCCTGTCATTTGGACACGTAATTGTTTTTTGATGATATGAGGTAAAAGCCTGAAAAATTCCTGGGAAAGCAAGGGTCAGAAAAGTGCAGTCTGGAAGTGTACCCTGATTCTTAAGAAGGTGTAGCAGAAAGTGAACCACAAGCCAGATAAAGCTCCTCTGGTGTGTCTTTTAATGGGCTTCAGATGGGACATACTTAAGGAATAAAATCAAAACCATGTTCCAAAACCAACTTGGTGAATTTTATTTTTTTTTTTTTAATTAGGATTAGCTGAAATTTGTAACGTAGTTTGTGTGGTAATGCTGCTTTTTTTACAGCCTGTTAATGTTAAACTCCTATGTAATTTGGACTTCAAGCTCCTATAAAGTTATACAAGGAAGATTAGGGCATTTTAAACAGATTTTTTTTAAATCTTAAAACCAAAATCTAAATGCACTATTCTAGCACTTTAATGATCTGCTTGTCAATTTGATATATAAGACTGTACCTATGAAATCTTAGTTTCTTAGTACTTCAAAGGTAAATTTGTCAGTGATAGTGACTGGCAAGTCAGCCTATCATTTTCATCAACAGATAATAGTTTATAGCTTTCATAAATCAGTTCTAAATGGGCTGTATGAAACTTACTAAAAGAAAGTTAGCATTTAATTAAACTCACTATTTCTAAAAGCAGTTTGATGTAAATCCAGTTTAAAGAATTAATCTAGAACATCATTCACATTCCCTAAGTGATGTGAAAGCTGGCGGTTTGAATAGATTGGCCTAATGGTAAATATGTACCTCTTGGTAGATGGCAGCAAATTTAGTGCTGAACACCAGATTTAGTTGTGTTAGCAATTGCTGAGAATCTGAGTTTTCTTCGAATATAAGAAACATAAATAGTGAAGAACTTCAGTTGAAACTTTAATTCTAGGTTTCTATTCCTTAGATCTCTCTATGTTGCAAGCAAGTTCATTACTTCCACAAGTTTCTTCTGTTAAATACAAACTGAGTATTGTTACATTTAAAAACTCTTCAAAACGCACCTTCCATCTCTGTGTTGCTTGCCATTCATTTCAAGGAGTTTCTGAACAAAAAATACTAAGAAATATAAAGGAAAGACTTGGTCTTCATTGTGGAATTCCTGCATTTTGCTAGTGTGTCCTGGTTTAGTATGTTTTAACCACCAGTGTGTTGAGGACAAATTTATTTTTGTAAATCACAGGCTATTCATGATTATTATCTGAAAAACTGATGAAATATTGCTAAGGTTATCTTCAATGTCACCTATAAGAAAGGTTATTTTAAAAAGTCATGTTTTCCATACAGAGCCTTAAAATAAGTCTTATCTTGGCTGGTCTCGAACAACAGCTCCTCAGGAATCAGTTTTTTTTCCTGGTTTTTATGGAGGCTTCTATCTTTTGGTTCACAGCTTATGCTAAAATCTCAGCCAATCATGTAGCCTCAAACAGTGGATACAAGCCAGAGTGTTTTGCTATGGCAGGAGTAGAAGAATCAAGGTCATCTGCTAGATATTGCTCCCTTTCCTCTCCTCTGAATATTACAGAATGGTAACTTCAATGTAAGATGTTACCACAGTGTAAGTCCTTGACACTATTTTCCTCATGGCAGGGAAACTAGTGTCAGTAAATTAAGTTCAGTAATATAGCCATAGAGGGTTATGTATTGATATTTAGAAATACAGCTCTTTAGAGCATGCCTTCATATGTTAAGTGATTATGCAGCTCAGCTGTTGTTTACAGTTCGGTAGCTATGTATAACTAGTACAGCCAGATCAGTCTTAGGGAGTAATACAGATTTAAAACAAATATATACCATTAGGTTAATGTAATATTCTTTCTTCAACCCTTTAACTAGCTTATTAATTTGTAAAAATGCTACATGGTCAACTGTTTCATGTTCACAGTGCAAATCTTTGACCTGTTTTCTGAATGCAAAGAGCTTGTGCTTGACTGACCCTTCCAGATATGTTTTTATAATCTGTATATGTGTATTGATTTCTAGGTTTCTTTATTCAGATGAAGTTCAAATTGGTCCGGAAACAGTCATGACTACTTTATACACTGCTAAGAAGTATGCAGTCCCAGCCCTGGAAGCACATTGTGTGGATTTTCTAACAAAGCACCTCCGAGCAGATAATGCCTTTATGCTGCTTACTCAAGTAGGTAAATTTAAGCTGGTTTGATTTACTAGGAGAATTGGTATTTGGAGGGAAATTACTAAATATTACATTACAGTAGGTTTGCTATCATGTAGTCTGATTTCTGTATGAAAATGTCTAGCTGCTCTGTTAGCATTTTTACAGACTTAGCTTCTTATTAATGTGGAGGGAAGGCTTTGTTGTTTTGTTTTGTTTTTAATATGCCGTGAACCGTGACATTTTAAATGGAGCCAGTTTATTCTACAATATATTTGCATGAATCTCTTAATTGTTTTTTGTTAAGACTGCTTCAGTTCACCATAGTGGATTTGATGTGTACTTTTTTTAGTTCTGTTCGCCAAAACTACAAACATAAGCACAAAGGAAAGCTTGCATTTAGTGAATTTGCATTAATTATGTACTCCTTTGAGATTTTTAAGTTCTCTTTAAGGTATAAACACAGAGTACTTAGATCAACCTATTTTAATTTGGATCTATACTAGAGTGAAAATACTTGCTTTTACAGATTAATGGTTTGTCAACTTTATGCTTAAGGTGCATTTCTTTACCTTTTTAGGCTCGTTTGTTTGATGAACCTCAGCTTGCTAGTCTTTGTCTTGACACAATAGACAAAAGTACTATGGATGCAATAAGTGCAGAAGGCTTTACTGATATTGATATAGGTAAGTTGCTTCATGTTTTCCTAAGCATTAAACTTCTGAAGGGAATTGTAGGGCATAAGAAGACTTTGTTACAGGATAGTTCGCCTCCCACACCTGAGTGTAGAGTCCCAAGCACATCTCATCTCCTTGTCACGGTAACCTGGGGTAGTTTGCTTTCCCCCCTCATCTGCACCCACCTTTGCACAGGCACCAACGCAAAGGCCAGCTGCGGATCTTGGAATTTGGTCAACAGCACCTGCATTACATCAGCAAGCTTGCTAATGAGCAGAACAGGACATTGCATATATATGATATGTTAATCAGTGCAAGTTTTATTATCTACCTTGCAGTGTTTTCCTTTGAGCTTCACTCCCCAGCAGGGCTCCCACTGTGGTAACACCTACACTTTCATTAAAGCTAAAGCTTTCACTTGCTGAGCGTTCTGCCTCATCCTGGAGGGATCCACACCTGTTTTTTGCATGTAACAGGAATCATACTATTTTGTTGCTGCATGGTACTTCTCCATTCAGAGTTGCACAGATCAAGTACAATTTATGAAATCTGTTTAAAAAATGAATATCTAAACTGCTGGTTTCTATGTTTTATCTTTTATGAAAAGCTACCAGTTTTAAATTTGCTTATATTTCATTGCTACTATATGTGTCGTAAGATTTACTCCCAATTCAGCTGGACTGTGAAAAACTCAGACTGAAGGAAGGTATTCCAGCTGCTTAAAGACACTGTAAAGTCATTGTTAATTGTATTCAGTGGGATTTGTATCCAGACTGTGAGTGTTCATCTCTGCTCTTGATAAGTCCCAATCTGTTTTGACTTTCCAATATGATACTTTCTATGACATGCCTTGCTTAAATTCAGGGCATATAAAAATTCCCAAAAAAGACAGAAGATTCAGAATATGAAAACGTGCTTTTTTTTTTCAGGATTGTGTTCTATAATAAACTGAGAGTTTTTGCATACCTGTTATTCATAAAATGCCACAACAGGTAAGAAATACAGGAAAGCTTGCTTTTGTAAAACACATGAGAGTACCTTGCCTCACATCCTGTGTTCCACCTTCAGGCTTTGTGGATGTCAAATACTTCAATGTTTAAGATGACTTTCATGTATTTTTAAACTGTTTTTTTATGCACCACTGCTGCTTGTGTCTGTAGTTGATACAGATTGGTAGGTGGCTACTCGGATGAGGGTATGACAATGTCATCATGAATAACTTGGTTTTTTAGTAGTCTGCATTCACCGCTTGGTCACTTCAGTTTTGATCTTGCCCTAACCATGGAAATTGAAATTCTTCAGGATATTGGTTGTCACTACATAGATCATATATAGTCACACTCTCAGGAATCAAGAAGAAAGTTCATACGCTGTCTTCATAACAGGAAAATTACTTTTTTAGTTTGGAGTCTGTACACCATTGGGAGATTTCTTTATACATAAGTTGTCTTATCTTTGGTGTCTTATTATAAATGTTCTTAGTGTTTACTTAACGTTTTAAGCTTACTTAATGTACAGCACTGTTACTCGTTTGGCTGAAAACTGATCTAAATCTGAGTGTTTTTTCTTTAGACACATTATGTGCAGTTCTAGAAAGAGATACCCTTAGTATTCGAGAAAGTAGACTCTTTGGAGCTGTTGTTCGCTGGGCAGAAGCAGAATGTCAAAGACAACAACTACCTGTGACATTTGGAAACAAACAAAAAGTCCTTGGAAGAGCTCTTTCCTTAATTCGTTTTCCATTAATGACTATCGAAGAGTTTGCAGCAGGTGAGTTTTGGGGTTCTTTGTCTTACTGTTAGACCATGTTTCCTCACAGTTCAGCTGTGAGTGTTCAGATGGTTAGTGCTCTATTGTTATTAATATCATACTAATAAAGGTTGTGATGCAGAAATGAAAGGAGAACATTCTGCAGAATACATTCTGGCCATTGGAAAATATTATTGTCATCTTCAGTTTGTGAATATTTGTGGTTTAAATACAGCACTTGAAGTAATTCTTCAAATCATCCCAGAAGTTTTTTCTTTTCACAGGCCCTGCTCAGTCTGGAATCTTGTCAGATCGGGAAGTAGTAAATCTGTTTCTGCATTTTACTGTCAATCCTAAACCAAAAGTAGATTATATTGACCGACCAAGGTGTTGCCTTAGGGGAAAAGAATGTAGCATTAATAGGTTCCAGCAAGTGGAGAGTCGCTGGGGCTACAGTGGAACAAGTGACCGGATTAGGTATGGCTTTTGAAACTATTTGTGGGAGAGACAGAGAAGTGTGGAAAGAAAGGGAACATATTACTCAACTTCGACTTTTTGGCATAAGATACAGTAACAAACGTGCTGGTTCTGTTTGGGCACGTTTAATCTTTACCTTTTTTTAAAATAACTTAGGCTGTTGCACATGTGAAATAAGAAGTAGCAAAAATCAAAGTTCAGGAGGATTGGGTGCATTTTAGAGTGATTGGGTGTTTAGCTGCATATTCCCTAAAAAAAAAGTAGTAGTGGTCTGTTTTTATTTTGGAGATACTCAAAAGAATCTGGTTATTTTTTGTTTAGTGATATTGAGTATGATGGGAGCTTAGAAAAGCTTTAACCTGTAAAGGTGATACCTTACAGATCATTTTTCTTACTATTGAAATGAAATAGAAATTGTTATTGAAAAAAAAAAATGTAATTTTCAATTTACTTCCCTACTCTTCAGTGGGAGTCTTTTTCCTACTTGACTGGGAATAAGGTAACATAACCATCACAGTTGTTTAAATTCCTTTCTTGGGTTGTGTTTTGCTAGGTTCACAGTTAATAGAAGAATTTCCATAGTGGGGTTTGGATTATATGGATCTATTCATGGACCCACAGACTATCAAGTTAATATACAGGTATGGTATATTCTGTTTAAATAGGCTTATGCAGAAACTACACTTTCAGTACTTGCAAAAAGGTTTGGTGTATATTTGGGTAGGAGCAATTGGTAGGTCAGGAATCTAAGCTGTGTTTTGTCTCTGACAATTGCCATAAGCGGATGACTAGGGAAAAATAAGAACAATACGAAACTCATCTCCCTTTCTGCTGTGTTATCTTGTCCTTTAGTCATTTTCAGTATAGGCATTTCCCAAGACTGATTTTGTTTCTCTAGTAGTTCCTGGTGAATCTTTCTTCTGGATACTTACCTGGTCTAACTTTGAATTCCTGTAAGTTTTCTGCCAAGGAATTCCATAGCTTTGTAATCTGTTCAGTTGTGCACAGAGTCTGTTCTTTAATAAAGTTGCTAGTAATTCAGTAAAGAGATCTTGGATTTGCCATCAACAGCTCTGAAATGAGTGACACAACATGTAGTGACTGCTAAAAAAGCCCATTGTGTCATCAGGAGGATACTAAAAACAAGGTAAAAGGTGACATTGTGTTGCTGTATGAAAGCCAGGTATACCCGCATCTTGAGTATTGTGTGCAGTTCCCAATCTCACACAGTAGAACTAGAAGATAAAGAGTAATTAAAATGATTAAGGGGAGAGAGCTCTTGCTTTATGAAGGGAGATCAAAAGGCTGGGACTCTTCAGTCTGTAGGGGAGAAGGCTATGGGGAGGTGTGGGCAATGCTTTTAAAATCATGAGGGCAAAGGATAGGGTAAATGCAGAACTGTTTGTTATACGCCAAGGCCCTGAATATTAGAACTAGTAGACTCTTACGGATACTAGCATAAGATCAAAACAGATAAGAGTATTTTTATAATGTAGAAGATACTATACATACTGCCACAAGAAGCAAAGACACTGTTTTGAATTTGGTGGTATTTGAACATATTCATTCATCAATGACAGATCCATTAGAAGATTCCAGAAGAAACAGAAGGGTGACGTACGCTGTAGCACCCCTAGTAGAACAGTTGTGGATGCTGAGGGAATGGACAGCAGAGCCCAGACTTGTGTGCTAACCCTCAGCAACATTCTTTTGCCACTGTCGGTCCAATATTGGACCATTTGATCCACTGGGTACTTACTACATTCTTAGCTCACCTGGTACATGTATTGGGGCTTAGAGGCCTGTCCTTGCCCAGAGCTTTTTGGAAAGATTGATGCCTTGGTTGCTACTGATTCAGTATTAGGCAGAATGTCATATGTTACTGTTACCATAACTTCTTCTGTAAAGTTACTTCAGTTTTAGGTTTCCTGAAAACATTGTCCCAGCATAACAGTCTCCCTGGTTTCTTCTGCTGGTAAATAATTTATTAGTATTGCTGTTCTCCAGGCTCCTACATGAAGACCTTATCCTGCTGCTCCTTGCTTTATATCTTCATGCTCTTTAACCCACCAGAGTCTGTAGGGCTTGTTGCTCCTCCTGTGTTGAAAGAATGATTTAACATTGGTTTTAATGCTTTCAGGTAGCTGTTCCTAAACCTTCTTTTGGCCTGCTTAATTGTATTTTTTACATTTTAATCTGCCAATTTGAACCTTTCTATTTAATCTGGATACAACTTCCTATTTCTCTAGGATGTCCTTTTTTGTTTATTTATTTCCAGTAACAGCCTCTGGTGATCAGCCATGCTAGCTTTTTTCTTCTTTTCTCAGGCCTTTCCTAATAGGTGATATGTACCGATACTGTACTTGGGCATGTGACGTCCTTCAGTAGTCTGTGTGCTTCTTATAAGGGTTTGATTTTCTTAATTGCTCCTTTTAGCTTCTTTTGAACAAGATTCCTCGTTTTTCTCTTTTTGAAATTTAGCACAGCTGTGGTGGATTTGCTTTTGTTGTTCACGTGGAAGCGTTGACACTTAAATATATTATGGACCCTGTTACATAGTGTTTCCATTATGAAATTTTGAATCTGATCCTGCTCATCCCTCAATACCAAACCAAGGGTTGGGTTTCTTCCTACTGAGCAATTGGTTAGTAAGCTCATGAAATGGTCAGTGATAGCATCTAAAAATGTCATCCCTGCTTCATGTCCTGATATGACACTTGCCTGGTCTGAGCAGGTAATTGAAGACTAAAATTGTATTTCCTGCTCTTCTAGCCTGTTTGACCTCTCTTAGCATGTTGTGGTTAGGATTGTCTTCTAGTAATATTGATCCAGCACTATATTTTTTCCTTTTCAAGTATGGTATTTCAGTCCATTTGAATTCTCTTTTATATTGATATTAGTTTTGATTTGATTCTAAGCTTTCTAACAAGGTATTGGCATTGCATGACAGGCACAGTTTTACTCTGTGCTGTGTATTTCATAAGCTGGTACTATCGCATCACATTGACTTATTAGGTATGTGGGAAATTTTGTAAAAGGAAGAATCTGTGATTTCATTTAGGGACAGAAATTCCATTGTCCCTATCTTATTTTGTAGACTTCTAGCATGTGCTGGGACTGCTGTTTCAGTTTATTTCTGGGCATCCTATTTAAACAGCAGTTTATTTGTCTTCTGTTTCCTATTTGATGATTACTATTCTCTGACCATCCTGTACTTAAGGACAGAAATCTTGTGTGTGTGTCAAGAAAAAAATGTTGTGCCTTTCCTTTTATGATGTTCCAAACAGAATGTATCCAGAATGAGGTTTTGAAGGAATTTGTTGGCTTTTCCACATTCCTTAGTTTAAAAGCTCACTTGCAAATTCTTTGAAGTGTCATCAGTTTGGTTTTCTCAAAGAGTCCATTTATGTAAATGAGTAGAATAGTGCACTAGATTGGATCTTTAGAACAAAAGAGTTGGTACTAAGATCCTAGCAGCTGTACTATATGATACTTGGAGTTTTACTTTGCATTAAATCTTGTTTGATTCTCTCAGCTAAATTCTGTGATGAGAGAATTTGATGTGCTCCCTCAGCATGTTTGCTGTATGTATTCCATCTGAAAAGACTTCAGCTTTTGCAAAGCAAACCAAAGCATATTATGTGGGGATGATCAAGAGATTTGCTTGAAAAACATGCTCCTGATCCAAACTGAAAAGCTAATATACCTCTACGGTTCAGGTGAAGGCCATCCATCTTACACAGGTTCTCTTTATTCTGGAAGTATCCCCAATTCTGAATGGATCTGAAACTTTCTTGTCACTATCTTTTCAGACAAGTATTTAATGCCTGTGGTTTTGCTTTTCTTCTTGGACCTGCATCAGTACTAGCAGAGCTTTGGAGATTTAAACATTTAGTACTTGTCTTAAAGTAGTGATAATGTTTACTGCATATTTTTTTATGTGAAAGTGGCTTAGGACTTCAGCATGATAATTGTTAATATTTCTATTGATCATGGCTGGAAAGAAAAATTATGGCACATTTTGCCTAGAATAGGGCTTCATCTCATTTGTGCAATATTAAAAATCATGACAATTTAATAATAAAATATTAAGACCGATAGGATTATTGTTAGTGCAGTAATCCTGAGAAGTGTTCATGTTACTCTAAAGCTCTGATATTCAACTTCTGCAAGAGCTGTTTGGCAGCATGGATCAGGATTGCTATCCAAAATAAGATGTGAGGTACCTGCTATTACTACATCTTAGCTAGTGATTCCTATTCACCACTAAAATTGAAGGCAAAATAAATAATACATAGTCTGAGTATAATTTTTAACAGAATCTAGAAAAAAAATAAATTGTGTAAAACATAGAAACACAAGTTCTTGTTTTGTTTACTGCTTACATTATCTGTAAAAACTTGGTTTTACCTCATGGGCTGTGTAGGTGTACAGAGATCAGCAAATCTAAGTACATGATTATATGTAGTATATGAAGGTCCGAAGCTGAAGGTCTAAGAGCTATTTATTCTTCATCTCCCAAGCAAAGACTGTAACCTGTTTGCAGCAGTGTTGAATCTAGCCCACAGATTGGCCAGCCTGTGTAAAACTCGCAGGCCATCATCATTCAGCATGCTGCTGGGTCAACCCTAATGGTATCGGGAAATTACACCTACATTCCAGTTCTGAGATTGCTCTGTTGGTGCAATTAAACTGGGTGGAGTAGGCAAGTGTTTGGTTGTAATCTTATAATATGCATACCATAAGAATATTTCTCAAGATTGTAAACCTAAAAATACTATTTTCATGTTTTTGTACAGATAATTGATTATGAGAAGAATCAAACACTAGGACAAAACGATACTGGATTTAGTTGTGATGGAACAGCCAGTACATTCAGAGTTATGTTCAAAGAACCTATAGAGATTTTGCCAACTGTTTGCTACACAGCTTGTGCAACATTGAAAGTAAGAATGCCTAACAGTACAGAAGAAATACTACTTTGATGCAAGAGTTGTTCTTTTATCTGTCTTCTGATGGGAAAGTGTCTTCTAGATCTTGATTTTATTTTAAGTTTAGTGCTAAAGAAAGATGTAGTTAAACTCCATAATAACTTGTAAGACTGCTACCTCTCTTCTGTGCCACTGCACAGAATTCATAACTGGATCCTTTTGCCTTCTCGCTTTCTGGCGTGATGTAAGTGTCAGAGTGAGTCCTAACGGAAGTCACTGGTTCCGTGTGGACAAAAGCACTATCTAGAATATTTAATCTGTCAGCTCTCTATCAAAATTTAAGTTTGATTTCTTTTACCAAGGATATTCTAACCACTAGCTAGAGTCAAGAAAACTGAAAGTTTTTTTTAATCACTTCTTATATACTAATGCTGAAATATAGGTAAGAATTATTTGTTCTAGGAAAGTCTCCCCGAATGTTATGAACAAATTTATTTATTCAATGTTTTCTCAAAAATGTTTTAATATTCTTTTAAGTATAATTTCTTATACAGAAATCAAGGTTGACTAGGTTGGAAAAAATATACTGTGCATTAAAAGAAGCTGAGGCAGGAAACTAAGTGAGAATATAGACAACCTGTATGACAAGGAGAAATACTAGAAAATCTTTATTCATTACTAGTTGGATAAAATCAAGTGGTTTAAGTCTACTGTCAGAGAAACTTTTTTTTGTTACTTAGACATAGGGCACTTGCTTCTGTTGCCCGTGATTTTGTGTATAATTTACATGATGTGGGTACAGAAATTTTATACTATTTAAAATAACCTAAGTCAGTAGTGTTTGAACTTTGACATTTTACCCATCTTGCTGCCCACTTCCATTCCATTGCTAATCTCTTCTGATGGTTTTTCAGGGTCCTGATTCCCACTACGGAACAAAAGGTTTGAAGAAAGTGATCCATGAATCTCCCACTGCTAGCAAAACATGCTTTGTCTTTTATAGTTCACCAGGTAACAACAATGGTACATCAATAGAAGATGGACAGATACCAGAAATAATATTTTATATTTAATTTCACATGATCATCTCAAATGTATCAGTGTATCAGTGGACTTCAGCTCACTGTTGGCGGCAGTTAAAATTCTGTGAAACTACATGAATGTGTGAAAACAAAACTAACTTGTTTGAGAGGTACCAGACAAGCGATTTTCTCTGCATCATTATTGGTGGAACGTAATTTAGCTTTTCCTCTTACCAAATTGTCAAGTGGAATAAATGCTCTGTACATTGAAAAGATTGTTTTAAATAGTCTCTAGCAATGAATTGCTTTGTATTTTCACCCTATCACTTCTCGTGTAGTAAAATTCATTTTCTGAACTGGAAAATCCTTACTCATTATGAACTTCTTGTTACCGTTTTCCCCAACCTGTCCTAAAAAGACAGTAAAGCTGCTGCTGTAGTCCCAGCTTACATTTCTTTCCAAAATGACCTTTGAATGACCCTGTGGACGTGAATTGCTACTATATTTTTTTGAAGCACATCAGCAAAACTGGATTCATATTGCTATCATTGTGACTTTTTGGATGAGCCGTGGAGAATTAATGGACTTAACACTGCAGACAGCATCTGCAGCTTCCCTGAAGAAATACTAAGTTGAATCCAGCAACAAACAGCTCTTTCCAGAATCTCTCTTAATGCAGAAGGGATGTTTTGGAACATAAAGCTGGGTATGGAAATAGTCACTGTATATACAAATGTGCCTATAAAAAATGTATAATGTGAAATGAGAATACAAGACTTGTAATTATGTTATTTTATCATTGGACATTCTAATACTAAAAAATTAGTATGAACTAAGGGTTATTTGTGTGCAGCTAGTTTTACAGATTGCATACAGTAATTGGATGCAATTGATGTATGTATATAGTATTCACTGTCTTGCAATATCTGCTGTGTAGAAGTAGAACGTCTTCATGTATAAAATCCTGTACCCTCCCCCAACTTATACTAAAGTAATAATTTGAGAACACAGGAGAAAAAGCCCTCTTCCTTTCTCTGATTTCTCTTTAAATGTCTGCTCCAGGGAAGGCTGTGCAGGTCTTAGGTCTCAGACCCCAGCCTGTAAAATAAGCCCTTTGGTCAGCTCTCCCGGACGTTTTTCATTGCCTTAGCCCACGGCAGCGGTGCTGTGACACGGGGGGGGGGGTGGGGTGGGGTGCGGTACAGGCGCCTGCAGCGGTCCCGCCGCGCCGGGAGAAGGCAGCGGCAGAGGGGCAGGAGCCCCGCGGGGGGCCGCTGGCCTGGCGCCGTGGGGCCGCTCCCCACGGAGCGGCCGCCCCCGCCTCTCCCCGCGCTCAGCCGTGGGCTCGGGGCGCGACCCGGGGCAGCTGTGGCGGAACGCGCATGCGCGGCGGGGCGGGGCTGGCGGGCGTCGACGGAAGGGCCGGCCCGCGCTATGGCGGCCCGCGGCGGCTGCCGGCGGCTGCTAGCGGCGTCGGAGCGGAGCGGCGGCGGGGTCATGCCCGGAAAGGTGCGGGACGGGATGGGACGGGACGGGACACGACACCACACAACACCACACCACACCGGGGCCAGGCTAGGCGGTGACGGGGCCTGTTCCTCTGTTTCAGGGAAAAGGAGCCAGGAAGGGGGCCGCGGATCCGGCGGTGGCCGCGGGACCGGTGGTGGCGGCGGGTGACGGCTGCGTGAGGGTGGCGGTTCGCGCCAAGCCCGGCTCCCGCTGCAGCGCCGTCACAGGTGGGGCCGCCGGCGCGGCGGGTCGGCCTGCCCGCGCCCAGGAGGGGGGTCTGCGGGGAGCGTTCCCGCCACGGGGCCGGGCTGAGGCGCGGTGAGGCGCGGCGCTGCGCGGTGAGGCGCGGCGCCCGGCAGGGCGGCTCGGGGCGCGCGCTGACGAGGGGGGTTTGGGGCGCTGCGGTCGGTGCCTGTGAGGCGCCTTTCCCGCTCCAGGAATAACCGCCATCAGCTGGGAACGGAGCGGGAGAGCTGGGCTTCCTAACCGGCCTTTCTAACGATTTGTACAGCTCATCTCTATCCTCTAAGCTGGGGGGGGGCGGGAAATCACAAAACTGAAGAAAGTAGTAATTTCACACTTTTCTTACGAGTAGCTCTTTCTCCTTCCCCCATATGGAAACGCTAGGTGGTGCGGTGAGCACGATGTAAATTCCTCTGAACAATTCTTTTTGAAAGGAGTGCCAGCGAGCTCAGCTGGTCAGCACTTCCTAGTTTGACACGTGAAATTTTGAGCGCGCTATTTATTTCCCAAGAAGTTGTGCGGTTTTATTTGAACTATAAAAGTTTGATCTAATAAAATGTGTTCTCCCTTTACAAATCTGGACTTGCTTATGCACAGATTAGAACTGCTTTTTGTACAGGTATGTGTACGAAGCTAATGTGGTGGACTGTAGTACAGTATCCAGGCTCAGTTGGCAACACAAATAAATTGTTGATGGTGGCATAGCTCTCTGGGCAGACTAACTTATCATGCTTTTTTTGGTGGTGTAACCTGATTTGTATTATGCTCCATGATGCCAAGCTGGACTACACCTGCATCAGAGTGGGCAACATAGAGAGGGGCTTAGAACAGTGCCATGGTTGTGTGAAAACTGATAATTCATGACTGCACTCTGATACAAGTCTGAAGACCTCACTGTTCTTTGTATCAGAAGATTATCTTTGTACTGACTAACAGTTTAACTTAAGGGAATTGGTGAAGTGTAAAAATGTTGTTACCTGCTAATCTATGTCTATTTTATTTTAAATTAAATTGATTTTGAAAGCATAAATGTTCATTTTTAGGTGACAATAACGAGATGGTTTTAACATTTTGAGCATAAAATCCTTAAAATATTTGTTATAGATGTGACAGCTGAGGCAGTAGGTGTAGCTATTGCTGCACCTCCATCAGAAGGGGAGGCAAATGCAGAGCTGTGTCGATACCTCTCTAAGGTGCTAGGAGTTAAGAAGAGTGAAGTTATTTTAGAGAAGGTACTTACATTTTTTTTTTTGTCTTACCCTACTGCAGTTTTGAAATTCACTCCTTGAGTACAGGGAGCTGCTTTCCAAGTTCAGTCCAAAACACACTTTAAAGGTGTTTAGTTGAGTTCATGGAATGATTCATTGAGAACAAACCTAGTGTAGAGAGAACCACAGCTGATCTTGAGATCTTTAATCAGAATAATTCTCATCATTATGTATTTTTCAAAATTTGTGTGGCTCGTGTTTTCTGTATTCTTCAAAGATGCTCTTGTTTTCATATCAAATGCAGTTCACAAAATTTGTGCTTTGCAGAGAATGTGCAATTTATTAATTTTCATTAATTTTTTTGAATTAACGTCTGCATTTGAGTTAAAAGTTTCTGACAACTGTCACACATAAGCAAGAACATATATAAACACTTGAATTATAGCTGGGCTTCTAGAGTTTCTTTGTCTTAGAATTTGCATGTCTTGACTTTGGTGAATGGAAACTCTTTGTTTTATTTATTGCACTAAATAAATAATTTAATTCATTGTCCTTACAGTCAGTCTTTCCAGCCATGTTCATTTATAGTTTATGATCAAAAGAGCACAATGAAAAATTGTGCTTTTTACTTTTGTCTGTTGGTTTAATGTAGTAGTTGAATTCTGTTAAAGGATAGTGGTAAATGGCAATGAATTGAGCACTGTGTTGCTGAAAGGTAGAGATATGAAGATTTGAGTCCTGCTTCATTTGTTTATCAACATTTTACAGATAGCACTGTTTTCCTACCTTAAAGGGATGCTCAGGTTTAACTAGATTATTCTCAGAAGCATTAAGCAGAGTTGAATGTAGAAGGGGCCGGTGTTGTCTGACCTTGACTCCGTTGTCCTGACCTATGGTGTTCAAATAATTACATGTCCATGTGAGTTTTTCACAAGCCACTGTTTGTTCTCAGTGAAGCATTGTGGTAAAATCTGTGGCTTAGATTTTTCCATCCCGATCTGCTATGGGTAAACAGCAAGTGATTTTTGGTACTTGTTGCTCTCTTATGTGCTCCTTGCTTTATAAGTGCTAACATCAACAAAACCAATCCAAATTGGGAAATTGGTGGGAAATGATCCAGTATAAAACTGAGGTTACCAGATTTTTATGCAAGGGCCTTGTTTTTCATCATCAACTAAACTGCTTCAAAACTCTATTTTTCATTTTAAATTTCATGCTATATTTGTGTGTAGTAGAGTTAAGGACTTTTTTTTTTCCTTCAGGATAGCCCTTGTGGGCTTCTCAAACCTTTTGCCAGGCTGCAGCTTAACCAAGCACCTTGATTCTCACGGTTTACTGAATACTAGCAAAGTTGTGACTTGAGGCAATATGAAATGAGGTTGCACGTTTGCCAGTTCCTATGTAAGCTAGCCTTTTTTTCAGTAATACAAAAAGAGGTCAATAATATTTCAAGTAACTGCTGTATAAATCTGAGTATCTTATAGGTTATATACGATGTAATTTAATTTAGTTGATATTGTCAATCTGAGAACTCATTTTAAGAATAACTAATACCCTGTGGGAGACAACTCTTGAAGAAAGATCTGAAAGTACACAGTTATCAAATATATATATACACACACCCACTTAAAAAAAAAAAGGAATTACTTGAAGTCTTGCTTCTAGATGATACAGGTGAATTATGGAAACTTACTACTCCTTGCTTTTTGTTCTAACCTATAAAAAAAGCATCAATTCAGCACATGCCCTGGGAGCTGTATCCAATTTTAAAAGCACAGTAGATAAGACATTGTTTTCCACTCTTCAAATAACTGGAAAAGACATTGATGAACTGTCTCTTCTGCTGTTAATTCTGCATACCCACCGTTTAAGAATTATTTTTAAGGTACCTTCTGTGTTGGTATTTCAGTGAAATTTTTTTGGAATGTGTATTTGGTGGTGATTCTCTGAAAGATATTTTTTTGTGTGTGTGTATCTCTAAACCAGGGTGGTAAATCACGTGAAAAAGTGGTGAAGATTTTTGTATCGATGACACCAGATGAGATTTTAGAAAAACTGAAAAAAGAAGCTTCCAGTTGACATAAAACAAGAGTGAGAAATGGCACCGTGCATCTTGGTAAATGGACTGATATTCTTTCTTATATAAATCTGGTCCTGTTGAGAATGTGGATAATGACTAGGGAAAGATACTTCTTCCCCCCTGCACCTCCTTGTTAATATAGCTGGTTTATAGTTGAAGTTTTTGTGTAGGTTTGATTAGAAAACTTGCCTTTACTGAGACTCTGTATCTGCTTCTGTCACTACAGACTTTTTTCCTCTCTGGAGAGTTTCCCTAAACAAATGGTTTAGAAAACTTGTTTCTTAGTGAAACAAACTTCGGTTAACAAAGCAAAAGGCTTGGAATGACAGGCTTCAGAGTGAAAAGTGGTATGAAAGGATGAGTCTGGATAGTGAAGACCCTAGAAGAATGTTCTCTTTAATATCTGGTGTCAGGTACTGGGTGCAGTTTTTTGTACTATGTGCACATATGTACATCTAAAATAAACATATTTTAAGCCAGTATACTGTTGTTGATCACACAGGCAAGCTAAAAGCAGAATCACCTGAATAACTGAAACAAAACCGGAATTTTGCAGTATGAACAACTCACCCAGAACTTAGTAATTGCATACACGGTGTCACTTTGTAAGAGTCTGTAATTGTTTCCTGAAATGTAGAGATACAAATATGTATCTGCCAAATGTATGTCAAGTGTAATGACTGTTTTTAATAAAAGGGGTAAAAAGTATTATCAAACCTTGTTTTGTGTTTATATTTTTAACAAAAAAAAAAAAAGTTTCCTAGAAGTCACTTATTAGAATGTTATTTTTAAACAAGGATTTTTTGCAATCTTTCCTTGATTTAAGAATTGGTAGTACTTTTATATAGAGAAATAACTGAGCAGAGTCATTTGTAGAAGAGAACAAGAAGCCTGAGATAAAATGGGCATCTATAGTCTCAGGACTAATGAGAAGGCAACTTAACTTCTCTCTTTATTGTGCTTCAGAGGTCAGAGTAAGATTTAAGTAGTATTTCCGAAAAATACATGTGATATCACATGTCTCTGGTATGAGTTTGTGTTTTCATCCACATCACTGCTGATGTCTGAAATTGTCCTATCTTTACTATGGTTGTCATACTGGGGGAAAAAAAAAAAAAAAAAAGGTAATGCCTAAAGTGGAAAGGAAACTATTCTGAAGGTTTGTTTAAGGTTTGTCATACCTTCTCCTGGAAAACAGTGTTACAAATGTTACAGTGTTACAGCTGAATTTCTTTACCAGCTTCATGGAGTACAGACATCGTAACTCATCATTTAATTTTTCATAGACAAAAATCTTTTGCTTTAGGAAATTCTTGTTATCCTAAACACTGCAAAAATTGTTCTTAGACGTAGAAAATTGGTGCTTGTCAAGATGACGGCTCCTTCAAGGTGACTCATTTTAAAGATGTTATGAAAAATGTTACTTTATTGTTTGGACAGAGTTTGGAGAGCTAAGTCTAAATTGTGAATGCTGTTTGCTTAATGGTTTGAATCTGGGCTCCTTGTTTTCTCAGACTTTTGGTCAGCTGTACATTGCCTCAGTTGCCTTTCCTTATTTATCCTTTTCAGTCTGTACATGCTGGTTTTGTTTTACTGTTCAAGCAGTTTTGGTTCACGGCTCCTTGCTGTTTCATCTGTTCTTGCCCAGCAGAGGGGTACCACGTCTTGCAGAAAAATTAAGGCAAAGCAAACCAAAACTAAGTGTTCATGAGGTTTTTTCCTTATTTCCTAAATTTCTTTTTATTGTGAGTAGAAAACAGCAATCCAAAGACCAAGGAATCCTGCATTTATAAGTTCTATTCTGAGCTGGATGCTGCAACAACCATTATAAAGATTTCTTTGGGAGCTAATGCCACATGTTACGTGATATGTGTCATATGTTATATTGAAATAATGTATTACACTTTCCCATGACTTCAGACCCAGATTGAGGGAGCAGCTGGGTAGGCAGGTACAGTCTCTGAAGTACATTGGTCTTCAATGATGATTACCTACAACAATAGCCAATTTAATCTTTCAGTTCCCCCTTCATTTTGTCAATATATTCTGTCTAGTCTATGCTAGTTTATGCTTCAGAGATTTCACCTTTCCTAAAATTTTTCAGCTGGCGTTCTTCATCTTTTCTTCCTAATCGGTGAAAGAAACTTGGTGTTACTATGTTGTCATTTCTGTGTAATGTGAGCCAGGCACATTGTCATATTCATCACTTGTCAATCAGAAGACAAGTACTGTTCAGCTAGGAAGTTTACTTGTCCTGGGGAAAACAACCACTGTGCCCTCCTTCCCATTGCATTTTTGTTTTCTATTGCATTTACAAGTGTGTGTGTGGGGAGGGGGAGCCATCTATATAATACTGATATTGTGCTTGGCCCCGCCAAGTACTTCTTCTTTTGTCTGGATTGTAGTATGGCATTTAAGACTCACTTCTGGCTGTCCAGTTCAGTCATCGTACAGTATTTTTTCAAAACTTGTTGCAGTTGGCTGTTTTTTAGCATTGCTTCTTAGGAAGCAGAAATATTATCTGTGGCATGTAGTGAAGCCCTAGCTTCTGTTGCTCAAGGTATGACTTAGTTGAGGCCCCAGTGATTCTGTAAAAGAGTATGGCAGATAGAAGCCACAGCAGTAATCAAAGCAGAGGGTTAGAAATTAAGTTCTGGTAGCGGTGCCCTGTCTCACTTAAGACTGAAACCGTGAACTGGCTAGTGTGATAAATAAAGCCTTTGTGTGCTGGGAACAGTGGATTTTTTTATTATGAGTAACCAAAATTACTTTAGAAGGGTAATATAACACTTGGGTGTTGGCATATCTGAGATCCTCTTATAGCAATGTTTTTCATGCAGTATTCCAATTATATCCATAATATGGTGGCTGTGGATACACATATTCTGGTGAAATGCCTGGGAGGCGGGAATTGCTGGTCCATTGTATATCAAAATTGAGATACAGAATTGTTAAGCAGCTTGTGTTACCAAACAAGTCAATGCCAAAACTGTGATTTAGGCCTAGCTCTTTCAAATCTTGTATTGAAATCCTAACCTGTCAACTATCTCTTCATGAACACAGTGAAATATCTTTCATTCTATTGAAAAAATTGTAGTAGCAAATATTCCTAACTCTTTAGCAGAATATGTTTTTAATAGAGCTTTGTGGTATTGTAGGAGGCTTCTTCCAATAATTTCAAAACACTTTTCACATCCTCTGTCTCAAAATAAAACTTAACTCTTACTCCTAGACCAGTTTAAAAACATTGTGGTGCCAGTTGCTACCCTCCTTTTACTTGTTGGTTCCTGCTTTATCCATGTGAATTAAGCTACATGATTACTCAGCTACTTGAAACCCTACTATTAACTCAAGCACTGTCCTCTTTACCTAATGCGTTGTCTGACCAATTTCAGTAAAATCTGTCTAATGATGATTTAATATCTTACGACTTACAGACCTGGGCATTTTTTATATAATTAAGTTCTTTAAACATTAGCAAAATAGAAGTTATCTAAATAAATTCTATGCCAAGCAGTCATATGGCATAGAACATTCTTGGTCTTTCATCCACTCAGTTACATTTATTTTCTAAAATCCAACTTTGAAAGTAGGTATAAGGTTTCATTGCAGTATTCTAATATACTAATTAAGGATATTTAATTATACCCTCTGAAGCTGGCCTCTTTGCTCTTTTAATTTCAGTTCTCTCCATTTATCATCTGCAGTGCATTCCTATCTCTCCTTTTAGTCCCAAGTGTTTCTAAATCCCTATTTCTTCAGGTATCATCATTCTAAATAATCCTGTATAATTGACAGCTTTGTCAATAACTGGCAGTGGCAATCTAACGGAAAGCACAGTTTAATATCTTCCTTCTCTCAGCTTCCAGGAAGATAGATACACCTGATCTTTCTGCTCATTACTTCACATGTCTGGCTCTGTTTCCCCTCTCACACTGCTTATTTACATATGTAAAACTTGAACCAACTGAGTCCCTTTTTTAAATTTTTTACTTCAACCAATTGTATTCACTTCTTAATGTTTTTAGTCTTTATCTCAGGAGGATGACTCATTGCCATATTAGCTATTATAAAAATGTGCTCCCCCGTCTCCTCCTGGGAACACAGTGCCTTACCTGCATGTAAAGCGTATCTTGGTTATTATTCTCTAGGAAGCCTGCTGCACTTGGGGCAAAGTGCTGTTAATGTAACCAATGCACAATAAACAGTCAAAAAGCCGTTGATGAAATACTTGTCTGAAAGGAGGAGTCTGATACTTCTCTAAGGTACTGGGAATTAATTTCTTCCTGGTCCTTTATATATTAGCTTTTCAAGTAATTGTTACTGAGCTGTGAAGAATTTTGCTTTCATCTATTAATAGTGCATTTATTTGGTTTTGCATTGTTTCAAGAGCTGGGGAAGTTAGAGTGATGAAGTAGTCTACCATACCATTTTACTACAGCTTAAGGCTCAGTTTTTGGCATGTTGTTTAAATAACATCTTGAGTTTCCAAGTCTGAAGTAAGGCAGGTGGAAAGGGAAATACATTATCGATTTAGCAGTTAGTCACTATAGAAACATGCTGTAAAGAGAACAGTTAACCATGGATTTAAGGAGAAAAGAATGTTGGAATTAACAACAGAGGGTCAAAGCTTCATTTTGTGCTGCTCAGATAAAGCAGTTGTGTGCCTTATGAGAATAACTGGGATTACAGAATGTCATTCTGGGGTGATTGTCATTAAGTTGCTGTATTTCCATTACCTAGTGTGTGTGCAGTGCACATGGGAAGGACTGCAGCACGTTGTTCCTTTGGCCAGTTTTTATTGCTGTAGTGTTTTGCAAACAAGGATGCATTGAGATATAATTTGTTAAAAATTTCAAATCTCTCAGTATATGTTAGAACATACTTGGTGCCTGCCTGTCTGCAAGGGGCGTTAGCCAGTTGAGTTTTATAAAACAAGCTATTTCTATAGAACCATTTTTTACTGGAGCTGCTTTCAATTGATTGTATTTAAATCTACACAGTTTTCTGCTCTTTTCTGATGTTCAGAAGGTCTGCAAGGTTAAATCAGATCTCAGTACCACCACACATGCTCCGCTCAAGCAGCCACCTTCCTGACACCTCTGGGCCCGGGGTTCATCTGCCCTCTTGCTGCCTCTCACGTTTCAGTTTTGCTGCTGTTGTTTCAGGTAAGTGCCCTCCAGCAAGTCCAGGTTCTCTGGGGTTGTTTCTGCTCTTTATTTGTCACATCAGCGTTGTTGCTGATACTTATCTCCTTAGATGCTACTGCATTTCTTTTTCTGTTTCCTGGGCCTGACAGCTCTTTGAGATGCATTCCTGTGAAAGGGGGGAAAAAAGACCTTGTGATAAAATCTTTGCAATCAGAAGGCAAACCTGTCCCTTCCAGTGAGGCCCTGTAGCAGCTCTGTCTAGCCTCCTGGCATTTGCCCTTTAATAAAAAGTCTCCTTTTGTCTTCAGTAAATCTGACAGCAGTCAGGTAGCACATATGTGAGGTCATGTTCCTGTTATGAGGGAAGATTGCTGTGAGATGCTAGGATGCACTTCTGAACAGACAATTTTCATCGGTTTCTTAGCTGCCTTTTTAACAGGGGAAGTGCAATCTGTTACTAGTGAACCTGATAGGTTATGTTTTTGGTTTTTTGTTTTTTGGTTTTTTTTTTTTAAAAACCTGATTAAAATCATCACTGGCTGGATATAAATGCTAATA